ATAAATCTGCTTAAATTCAGCAAAAGTTTAAGACTTTAAAATAATTTTCTTGCTTATTAAATTTTTAATGCCAGAAAAATCACATTTTGTGAGTGCAGAAAGGTCATTATTATGATTATGGCGAAGTAATTTGAAACTTTTTCTTAGTCACAATTTTAATGTGTCTTTTTTTAAAAAGACTAATGGTTTATTTTGTCCCATGATTTATTTGGATAAAAACATTGGAGGGAAAACGTAGAAGATGTGATTTTTGATTAAGACACAAATTTCAGTGCAAAAAGGTCATATTAAATGTATCATAGCGCCAAAAGAAGCATATTGACCCCCATTTTTTGTTTTGATTTTTAATTAAGCTATGTGTGTAGAAGCTGAAAATATACTTGACAAAAAAAGTTTAAGACTTTAAATATCAGGATCCAACCTCGTTAAAGGATAACAATAATGCTTAAACTTGGCGATGATAGTGGTACAGATCAATGTCCAAGAAAGTCCAAGAAAGCCGACCCTACTGTTATACCAGTCCTTTTTCCTCTTTATAGATGTTTAGGTTTTGCAACCCCCTGCCTAGGATCTGGATCCGGTTGCACAAACGTAAGTTAAATTAACTCCCAGTTAGTGTCGTAACTAGCTGTTAAATTTTTAACGACGAGTTACCCAACTGTCAGTTAAAAAATTGTTGTTCGAAAGTCTATTTAAAATAAATTAGCTGACATTTAATTGATGTCTTATAGTTAACTGTTCTAACGTCGGGTTAACGCAAAGTTAACGGCTAGTTAAATTTAACTAACGTTCGTGCAACCGGAACATTACTTATAATTTATCTTTCAGAATTTGATTACTGCACTTAAAATAATTTTTCTTCCATCTTAGGTAGAACACATTTATCATGTTGAAGGCGTCCGAAATATGCGTTCCTGTGTATATCATTCCTCTACTGTAAGTAAATCAATGCAAGAAAGATCCAAACATGTTTAATTCACTTTAGAATGACATCTCGACATTTCTCTGGTTTATGATTTTATCCTGTGCTAAATCCTTCACATAACTAAAAATACTTCCCAGTTACTGGTGAAGTATAATCCTAGATTAACTAATTAACTGACCATTACAGACTACAGATTCTAGGGGACACTGTCCTTTTATAAGACTTTCAAGTTTACATGTGTCTGTCATGAGTGAAGATTTTGTGAAGTTGCATTCCTTGTGAAACCTGATGACTTGAAAAGTATCCGACTGCAGGCAGCTTACAATTCAAAAATGTAAACTACAAATTTAATTTTGGACCGTCTCATACAGTGTTTTCTCTGAAAAATAATTTTCCATCATATAATCACAGTGCAGATTTTGACGTCAAAACGATAAAAATATTCATCTGAGATCATGTTTTTATTGCTCTATAAGAAATATTTTTGCGGTTATCCAATTATATATACAGAATTGCAAAATCGCAAGAATTATTTTGAAAAGTTCGGAAAACAATATAATAGTACGTGATACCTGCAAAAAGTTATGATTTTGTTCTACGACTAAGGTATAAAGATAAATAACACCATACCATCCCCAACCAGGTCCGTACATGTAGCAACGGTTTTAAAAGGGGGGCAACCTCCCAAAAAATTCCAAAAAAGTAAACTAATGAAAATCATATTTTGGAAGGGGGTTTGGTGGTTGGAACTTTCTCTTACTTTTTTGGCACATTCTTTTCTTCACAGCAACAAAAAGTGTGTGTGTGTAAGGGGGAGGGGGGTCTACGGGCCTGCCCCAAACACAGTTATTGGTACATACTGGTACCATATTGACTATGCCTACATCCAGGTGACCGTTAAATGGTACAGTTTCCTCTCTCGTCAAAAAGTGTAGAGGAAACTATTAACCTTCTCTCTGCAACTTGAACTTTGTGGTGGTACCTGATGTTGTCATTTCACGATTGCTAAGATCAAGTAACATAGAAACACAAACAGAATATTTACCGAATTCTTATTTTATACAAGGTGACGATAAACGGTGCAAAACAGTGCATCTGTTACTGTTTTTGATAACCAACTTTTAATCAAAGAAAAAAAATGAGACGTTTAATTCTTGTGGATCAATTTTCTCAGTTAAGTCTCATCTGGTTTTAATTCATTTGGACCCAATATCAACCACAGATTTCAGATTATTTTACGGCCATGAATATGGGCATATATATAAAATTGTTGAAGCGCGAGTTCCTATGTACAAAAGTAGTTCACCGTTACACAGTCAAAAAGTCCAAGCCTATAACTTATCAAGTCCTCTCGTTTCGGGTTGTAAACTTGGTGTTAAATATACAAATGTAGGAACGGTGATTAATGAGTCATGTCTATTAATTTATTATATAGTCTTAATTCTGAAAAAAAAAATGATATAAACTCTTCTTCATTACATACAATTCAAGGGAGAAAAGTTGAAATGCGTATTTCCTCAAATGAATGTTGTATGTATTTTCTGAAAATGTGATTACGTAGAAAGAGCAGATACTGTACAACAGTATTAATTTTTTTTTGTAGAAATATGACCTCTAGAATTGCATTATTATATTTTGATGAGAGAATCCCTTTCAATGCTGACATATAATACCAGTATAGCCTCGTTATAAAAATTCACTACTGTAAATTCCTTATTTTACGCGAGTACTTAATATCGCGAAATGGCCCAAGAGCATCAAATCGCGGGAAAAATAATTCGTGAATCGGTGATTTATCTAGAGATTTTACATACATTAAAGCACCATAAAAATAAAAGCGAGTAATTTTATTTCGCGAATGGTGCTTCTCGCGTAATTACGCGATAATTTATTCCTCGCGTATATTTAGGAATCTACAGTATGTTGTTTACAACAACGTAATTATATTACTGTTAAAAACTCATATTTGTATAGTAACATAATATTTTTGCGTCGTTTCTAAAATATACTTCGGGGGCTTATTTCTTCATTGTCTGTTCTGCGTACTAAGATATTATTTCATCCTAAATGATACACATGATGAATGGAATAGTTATTTTCAATTTTTGTTTCTTTAAAAAAATTATCTACTATAGACATGAACATGTTTTTAGCTCCGAGCAAAAGGTTCAAAGAGGTAATACTGTGGTCATTCGCGCGGTGAGCGTACACTTTTAATATGAGCCATATTTCAGCACAGGCACCTGGATCACCCCCTCGCTCCCCCCCCCCCCCACAACTAACTAATAAAATATAAGGAGTCTTTATTTACTCGAAAATATGTTATTTCTCCGTCATTTCTATCTGTATGTCATTGGTTTGTACTATCGTTAAGGTTTAAAAATTGGCCATATACGGTATACTAGTAATAAAAATTATACCGTATATGGCCAATTTTTAAGTGACTAACCAAAAAGTAGGTTACGGTGACCCAGTGAATTTTAAGGCTATTCATTTTCAAAACATTTAAACTTATTATTTTGGATACCAAGAGAGTAAAAATCAAATCTTGTCAGTTATTGCATCTCTGGGTCTCAGGGTGTGACAACTAAAAGTAGATCAAAGTGACCCCCTCTGAATTTTACAGCTCCTCATTTTCAGATCTTTAAACCTGAATACTTTAAACACTTTGACCTGTACAACAGGCCCGTAGGAAGCAATTTCAGTTGGGGGGGGGGCACAGCCAAACATTTTTCAGTTGACAGTTGAGGGGGCACTACCAAAAATTTCCTGACAAACAAAAAAAAAAAAAAAAAAGGTCATCAGACGTTTTCATTGAGGGGGCACAAGCATATAATATCTATGTTTACTATAGTAATCTATATATCGGCAAAATTATTGGGGGGGGGGCACGCCCCCCCCCGTGCCCCCCCCCCCCCGGTTCCTACGGCCATGTACAATCATCAAACTACACAACTGATGCATTTTAGGTCCACGAAATGTGTCAATTCAAAAGTAGGTAACAGTGACCTACTTTTTGAACTGAATTCTTATTCATTGTCATATCTTTTAAACTTGGATACTAAGAAGCGAAAGATCACCAAATCTTAATTGTCAATTGATGCATCAAGGGATTTGTCGATTCAACATATTCAAACATAGCCAGTTGCCCTTTTTTGAGATTTCATCATTGTCAAATCCTTTTAATTGATACTATGAGTGTCATGAAATTTTGACAATTGAAATACTTTGGGGCCTTGGGAAATGTTGACTTAAAAGTATGTCGCACTGACCTACTAATTTTAAATTGATCATTATCAAATCTTTTTTAACTTAATTACCAAGATGCTTAGGATCATCGAAAATAGATAGTAGGGCCTCAGAATATTTTGACCCTATAGTTTCTTTGAAACTGACCTTAACACAGTGTGACAGAAAGACAGGTGGAAGAACAGAAGGATGGAGGGACAGATGGATGGAAGTTGGACATGACAAACACTATATGCCCCAGCCATATTCATAGCAGGGCATAATTTTCTAAATGTACATATTAGTGGTCTGCAAATTCCACACATGTTGAATAATTCATTTCTCATGTGCTCACTAGTTTACAGTTTTCACAAGTGTGTGCTTATGGATCCAGTATTCCCACATTATTCAATCATTCAAGGTACACAAAAATACGTTTTTAAATAATTCCAAATTGGCCTTGGGATTTTCATAGTTCAAGGTTTTTGTATTTATATGTGAATGAAAAAGTACATATTTTCTAATGCATTATAGATCAATCACCGGTACACCCATAACGCAGATTTGTTAATTGGATACAGCGAACTGTTGTAATTTGAACTCCAGAAAATTTGGTGGCTCGTAGTGCATGAATATACATTTTTAAAATTACTGATAAAAAGTACATGTAATTCTTAAGTATTAAAAAAGAGATTCTCCATTGATATTTTTTTGCATTTCAAGGTGCTATAAATCACATTAAAACTGAACTCATCAAAAGGTATGCATACAAGTGTGTGAAGGTATAAAAACAATCATTTCACTTTCATTCTTAGATTCATTTATTAATAAAATCTTACAATGCAATTTTTAATTTTTTTCTTCAAACAATTTATCAACATAAAGTTATTCTTCAATGATTAACAAGTAGACGTTCTGGAGTTTATAAGAAAACAACTTTGAAAAGAAAGTCAAAAGGAAAAATTTTACATATCTTTTCCATTATAAGTATTACACACAAAATAAGTCCTCAAAGTCACTTCTCCTTTCTTCCCATGAAAACTTTGAAAGATCTACCTATAAATTAAAATATAAGATCTACATTTATTTAATATTTACAAACACTAGAAAAATCATTATTTTATAATCCATGCACTCAATTTTTTCATTACTGTTACTTTTACATTGAAAGAAAACTGGAAAACCAAGTCATGTCATGACCCAAAAGAAATTTCACAACTTTGTTTGAGACATGACTTGTTTTACAACATTACAGATAACTTTGATTTGACTAAGCATTAATCTGTATGTCAATATACACTGAACTCATTATCACTAGAATATTTCTCCCCATTGCTTTGACTTTTGGGTGGTACTGACAAACAATGAGATGACGTAAGCTTAACCTTCGAATCGTAGGAAATAAGGTTTGCACCAACTAAACTCAGTAAGTTCGAATCCCACTGCTGGACGTGGAGACAGGTCCTTTGGATGAGGCCATATAAACTGAGGTCCCGTATCACAGTAAGTGCTGGCATGAAAAAGATTCCTCACAGGCTCAAAAAGCCGTAAGTGCTGAGTAGAGGTCTAAATTTGCAGTCCTCCACCAGCAAGTGGTGCCTTTCAATATGAGTGAAAAATTCTCGAAGGGACATTAAACAAACAAACATGCTAATTTATGCAATTTTCCTCTACTAACACATATTCTGTTATGAATGTACATTCTATGTCACTGTTTTACTGTTTGGTGTGACATAAATATAAGCAGTCTATTGAAAGTCCAAGGTATTGATAGATTTGTAATAATTCATATCTAGAGGGAAATCACAGGATAAGAATCCCAAAACAGATGCAAATGTGATTAATCAAACTCACTGAACACAGTGTCAAAAACTCAATTCAAACAAACCTGTATCTTGTGTTCCCTGACCAATTTTGGATGACGACAAAATCTTCTCAATGTTTTTAACAACTGGTTGTCTGTATTATACAAATACTGTTCTGAAACAAAAACAATAGGAGCATGTTGTATTTTCATTACTGAAGTGATATCTCATGAAATTATTCATTTTACATATAACTTTATATTTTTATTACATGAATTTTTTATGCCCCCGTATCAAAGATTCAGGGGTATATAGTTTTTGTCCTGTCTGTCCGTCTGTCTATATATCTGTCTGTTTGTCCGCAAAAACTTTAACCTTGTCCATAACTTTTGATTGGTTGAAGCTATGACTTTCATATTTCACATGTGTATTCCTTGTGACAAGACCTTTCTTTGGGTACCATCTTATTTGACCTTGGAGTTTGACCCAGTTTTGCAAAATTTTACCAAACTTTAACCTTGGCCATAACTTTATAACAGTTGGTGCTAGGGGTTTCATACTTCACACATGTAATCCTTGTGACAACACCTTCCTTTGGATACCAACAACTTTGACCCTTTGACCTTGACCTAAGACTTTGACCTACTTTTCAAAAACTTTAACCTTGGCCATAACTTTTGAATGATTGGTTCTAAGGCTTTTATACTTAACATATGTAATCCTTGTGACAACACCTTCCTTCACATACCAACAACTTTGACCCTTTGATCTTGACCTAGGACTTTGACCTACTTTTGAAAAACTTTAACCTTGGCCATAACTTTTGAATGGTTGGTGCTAGGACTTTCATACTTCACATATGTAATCCCTGTGACAAGACCTTCCTTTGGATACCAACAAATTTGACCTTTTGACCTTGACATAGGACTCTGACCTACTTTTGAAACACTTTAACCTTGGCCATAACTTTTGAATGGTTGGTGCTATGGCTTTCATACTTTTTTGGAAAATTTTAACCTTGGCCGTAACTTTTGAACAGTTGGTGCTAGGGCTTTCATATTTAAAATGTATATTCCTTGTGACAAGACGTTCCATTGACCTTGACCTTGGAGTTTGACCTACTTTTGAAAACTTTAACCTTGGCTGGCCATAACTTTTGAACAATTGGTGCTACAGCTTTCATATTTCACATGTGTATTTCTTGTGAAAAGGTCTTTCCTTGGGCACCATTAATTTTGACCATTTGGCCTTGACCTTGATGTTTGACTTACTTTTGAAAATTTTTAAACTTTTTCATATCTATTCAATGGTTGCTGCTAGGGCTTTCATATTTCATAGGTATATTCTTAAAGACAAGACCTTACTTTGGGTACCAACATATTTTATTTACATTTGAGAAAGTTTAAACTTTGCTTAAAGTTGCCCTACGGGGGCATCAGTGTTTCACAAACACATCTTGTTTTTTCATCAAATCAAAATTTTTAGGATGCAACAAGGTAGGACACTTGTTAGAGAGAGGAATGCAGTATATTGATACTAAATCTCCAAAAGCTTTTATTAAAAGGGAATATGATAAAATTTAACTCAAAGTTTGTTTCTTTTTTTTTAACCACAGATTCCCCTTTATTCAGAATAAAATCTATTATGAAAAGTTTTTTATCACAAAAATTAAAAAGGAGTATATTCTGTAATGACCAATATCTGCCCCAAAAATCAAACTTTGATGGAGAAGCCTTCATTTATGTTTTTAACCAGCGGGATACCTGCAGACTTCAAAACATTACCTATTTTCATTAGCCATGATGTCATATGTTAGATATGATGTCAAGAAGATGACATAAATTCTATATTTCAATGATTTTGAAAGAATTTTATGTTGTATACTAAAATAAAATTATTTTTATTAAAATTCATAGAGCATAGGTCTGCTCCAACTCATTCTTTCGATAGAATGTGTAAAATCAATAAAAAAAATGTGAATATTGTACTAGAACAGGCTTGCACTTTGTAAATTCTGTCGTCAAAATTTGACAAATATTGTCCATTTTGTTCTCTTTCAAGCTAAGTCTAATTCAAGTGCACAGCTGACTTTGCGCAGCTTTTTAATTTCATGCAGTCGTATGTGCGACATCAAACCTTTCCCAAGTATTGTGACTTTAATACAAAATTAACATTATATTACATTATCTGTAACGTCTATTGGTCTGAATTAAAATGTACTTTTAAGACAATATTTATAGGAATAAATGCTGAAATGGCTCTAATGACGTCACTGTTTTCCGGTTCTGTATGCAATGCATGACGCTGAAGAATGATGCATGACTCGCTTGAGTATTCAAGACGTCCATGGACATTTTATTAAAAATTGCTGATAGAACACATCAAAAGAAACATACAAGCAATCAAAACATTGTTATTTTTTACCAAAATAATTCATCTGTGCCAATATATACAAATGTATATTGCAATATGGCAAATTTAGAGGTATTGGGCATTGAAAAAAAACAACTTTGTAATAATTGCTAGACCAACCCAGAAGGTTGACTTTTTTCAAATTTTACAATTTGGTGACTTTTTACAATAACTTTCATGTATTTGACTGAAAAGGAAATCCTTACTGTAGGGGTGAAACGATACACCTCCTTCACAGTTCGATACGCATTGTATAATTTTGTCTCGGTTCGGTTATTTTCGATACGATTTTGATAGAAGGAAGCAAATTCAACGTTGTTTTATGCTTTCTTTTTCTAAATCTAGTCACATATTTCACGAATTTATTTGCAAATTGACTAGAAGAAATTGATTAAAATTATTTGACTGTCAAAAATTATTTTACAAGCTATCAGTCATCAAAAATTTACGTTTTCTAGATACTTATTTATACTGAGTAACGTGTTTTACCAGGTACTACTAAACAGAGAACCCTAGAGAACTCTTAAGAACCCTAGAGAACCCTAATGATTTTTAATTATTTATTGTTTGTAAATGAAATATATATGTTTTAAATAACCAATATATCATACAAAAACAAAATAAAATTTAAAAAAGAATATAATGCCAGGTCCTATATATTCCTATGTAAAACTTTGATCGCCCATTGTGCCCCACCCGACCCCCGGGGGTCATGATTTGAACTAACTTGAATCTACACTACCTGAGGATGCTTCCATATAAATATGACCAATCATGGCTTTGCTGTTCTTGAGAAGAAGATTTTTAAAGAGTTTTCCTATATATTTCTATGTAAAACTTTGATCGCCCATTGTGGCCCCACCCTACCCCCGGGGGTCATGATTTGAACAAACTTGAATATACACTATCTGAGGATGCTTCCATATAAATATGACCAATCATAGCTTTGCTGTTCTTGAGAAGAAGATTTTTAAAGAATTTTCCTATATATTCCTATGTAAAACTTTGATCGCCCATTGTGGCCCCACCCTACCCCCGGGGGTCATGATTTGAACAAACTTGAATCTACACTACCTGAGGATGCTTCCATATAAGTTTCATATTTTCAAGCACAGTGGTTCTTGAGAAGAAGATTTTTAAATGATGCCATTAATTTTTCATGAATTCATGATTATCTCCCCTTGAAAGAGTGGCCCTTCATTTGAACAAACTTGAACCCTCTTCACCCAAGGATACTCTGTGCCAAGTTTGGTTGAAATTGGCACAGCCGTTCTGGAGAAGAAGATGAAATTGTGAAAAGTTTACAACGACAACAACGCCGACCTCAGACAACGGACAAATTTTGATCAGAAAAGCTCACTTGAGCCTTCGGCTCAGGTGAGCTAAAAATTCATGTTATTGATTTTATAGCTAGAATATGATTTATAAAGTAAAAATAAACTCAATTATGCATAAAATTTATTTGAATTGACCAAATAAACCTTGAGTTCTCTAGAGTTCTCTAGGGTTCTCTGTTTAGTAGGACCATGTTTTACCTTATGCCAAACTGGACTGAATAACGATCCCGATCGAAAAATGAACCGAACCGAAAATTAGAGATTTTGCACCATGTATCAAACCGAGAAAAAATAATCGATACCGCGGTGAACCATTTCACTCCAAGTTTTAAATAACCAATATATCATACAAAAACAAAATAAAATTTAAAAAATGAATATTATGCCAGGTGTTATGCTTATTTTCAATGGAATACTAATGTATGAAGACTTCATCATACTTTGTGTTATTTTAATTATTTTTTCAAATAATTTTACGCCAGAGTTAATAACTAAGAGTTCTATATAACTTAAAAAATAAAATTAAATGAAAAATAATGTGAAAAAGAATTGTAAAATTATGTGGTAAAATTATTATTTCAATTAACAACGTATTTGAAATTCAGTCGGGATCGGAATGACTTAAAATATTACACTACTCTATGTTGTTACGTTTTCACCTTTTTTCGAGGGAAAACATCCATAAAAAATTCATGTTATTGATTTTATAGCTAGAATATGATTTATAAAGTAAAAATAAACTCAATTATGCATAAAATTTATTTGAATTGATCAAATAAACCTTGAGTTCTCTAGAGTTCTCTAGGGTTCTCTGTTTAGTAGGACCGTGTTTTACCTTATGCCAAACTGGACTGAATAACGATCCCGACCGAAAAATGAACCGAACCGAAAATTAGAGATTTTGCACCATGTATCAAACCAAGAAAAAATACCGCGGTGAATCGATACCGCGGTGAACCGTTTCACTCCAAATCCTTAGGGCAGAAATACAAAAAAATATGGGGATAATGTGATAATTTGGCGCTTTTCCAACAAATACCCATAGGGTTCAATAGTAAAATTGGACAACTTTTGAATGGCCCCATAAGAAATTGGGATGGTAAACATTTGATTATTTTATCTTAAAATAATCAATATACATGTAGTAGTAAAAATTCATTCAAGAAATTTTATCAAAATATCTAGGGTAGAAATAATTTGATTCAGCCTAGTTAAAAATAATGGAAAATCTCGATATGTACATGTAGTTTGTAATGTCACATACACAAGAATTGCCAATAATCGTCTTCCAAACTATAATATTTTTTGTTAATTTGGCTTTCATTGGGGCAAAAATATGCTTATACAGCATACAGCTCTTTATAGCTCCATTTTAACTTTGCCCTAATTTAGATTTGTGCATTAGAGGTAATTAACAAAACACAATAATTTACAATTACAATAGTGATATTTCTTCAGTGCAAAGTTCCATATCAAAATACAGAGGAAATCATGTTTCAAACCCTATTGATGATGTTGATATATCATGATATGATATCTTATCTGTACCTACTTGGATATATTTCAGGATAGACCAAACGATTTGGACACAAGGGATAGCATTTCATTTGGACTGCTTCCAACCTGTTTTAGAGCAAAGAAAATTTTTTTTAAATACGATGGATGTTATATAAATAATGCAACTTTCCTTTAAAGAAAAATCCCATGATCATTTGATGAGAGAATAACTCTATTAGGCCTATAATGTGTGTGTTTGTTGTCGGGGTGGTGCACACCCCCATCACCTTTTTAGAAAATAGTCTTTCTCTGAAGTTTTAATTTGAATCATTTAAAGGTTGCTTCCCTCCCCCCAGTTTTTCGAAAAATTTTGAAAAGTTAGACAAAGACCGACCCCCCCCCCCCCACCTCCAAGTTTAGGTACTTTATGTTTTTTTGGGGGGGTCAAATCTATTTTTAGCGCTCCTCCTATTTTAAAAATTGTTGCTATGGGCCTGTCTATTGGTGAAGACTTACAATATTCTGACAAAAAGATATACATAACATTTGTTTTTGAACAACATGCAAGATTTATTTACCATATAAACGAAATATTAAATAGATGCAGTATGCTGAAAACAAAATTCATGTCTGGCGTAAAATTCTCAAATAAATATAGACTTTTCTTTTAAGTATAGACCACACGCTGATTTGCCACCAATAAAATGGATACATAAAATTATGTGTTTTGTGAATATCTTGCTGTAGTCTACTTCTGTATATTAAAGTAAACTTGAAATTAGGTCAAAACTAAATAAGTGAGGATTAGCATTTTGAAAGGATTTTAAATCTCAGAGTGTTATTACATGTAGTAACCTTGGCAACACCACTCATCATAATGCTAAATCAATATAAATAGATCTATAATTATTAATGTTGATGTAGTCTGTTTTTCCAAGTTTGACTGCATGAAATCAGTTTTATTCCCCCCCCCCCCTCCCAAAAAAAAGTTCATTTTATTTTTAATTATCACTCAGGGCAATGGCATTGAAATGCACAATGGACAGAAAAAAACAGAGATATCTTTGGATTCCAAAGAAATCATTTTTTTTTTTAATTAAAGACTTGGACATGCGTGTTATGCAGCAGGTATTAACCTTCAATCCCTCATCAGCAATGAATCAGTCCATTCAGTGCCCACCATGGCATTATTGTGTCAAAATAATTAATATAAATGTAATATGGTCTTTTTAGAGCTAAAACCTTAAATAAGGAATTTATATCTGTATTCTAATCCATATTTTAACAAATTTTTCTACAAAATGCCACATTGAAATGAATGATTATGTTGTGTTTAAATTTCTTCAGTGTGTCAAATGAAAATGAATGATTATGTGGCGTTAAATTTCTTCAGCAGATGCATATAGATATACATGTATATGTTTGTCAGCTGAGTAAATTGGCTCACACGGAAGTGTAGCTCTGGCAGTGATTTTTTTATGTGAAAGATAGCCAAGGGAGATTGAACTTAGTTCATCTACCAATAATGCTTCATGATCTATTTGTCTATTATCAGTTTAATTGAAATAGGGCAAAATCTGTAATGCATAGGAATAACTGTCTAATTTTTTGGATTCATGATGTGATCAATCGAGTGGCTTGCGTGATAATTTGCATAAACGCTGAAGGGGTTTATGCATAAAATTATCACGCAAGCCAATCGATTGATTATCGTCATGAATCCAAAAAATCTGACAGTTATTCCCTATATTTACATGCTCCTGATTCTGCAAATTCCCGTGCTAATAGCCCCGCTTCTGTCCCGCCCCGCACGTGATTTTTTTTAACCGCGCCTATCGATGAACCTGTCCAGTAGATTTATGTAGAAATAAAGTATTTTTACAATTTGTAATTTTATCTCGGACAAAGACATTGGAAATGTAAATATATACTGTTAAACTTTACTATCTCGGAGTCAAAGGGACTAAGTTTAACCTTTGAGATATCTGAGGATTTGAGACAACAAGGTTGAAAAAGATAGAGAAAAGGTGGTTGGGACTGCCAAATCATTTCAATATATCCCTGGTATTCGAGATACTGGTGTTTCGAGAAAAAATTAACAGTATAAAAATCTGATAGATTTTTTTTTTAATAACAAAACAATGAAATTTTTGAGGTTCATGCAAATTTGATATACAAAATTTTATATCTTGATTCAGTATTAAAGTAACAATTTGTTTTTGAAATAAAAAACAAAACCAACCAAACAAACAAACAAACAACAACAACAAAAAATCACAATCTTTTTCTTTCACAAAATAGATTTCAAACAGATGAAAGGACAATAGATAAATAAAATATGCATAAGTAATTCTTGTCTTCGAGAATTAGAAATTGGACCCATATTAAAACATAATTTTCTAATTTTAAAAATCCATCATGTATGAAATACTTTGATATTTATTAAAAGCATTTAAATACTAAGAATACGTATAAATAAAATGCTGTGGTCGAAAGATTTTAATCATTTTAATCATTGGGAATAGAATAATGATTGAAAACAATTTTTTAAAGAGGTAGAATTTTTAAAATTGATTTTTATTGATTAAAATGAAAGGGGGATAACTCTTCAAGAACAGGACAAGATCATAAATTAGGACATTTTCCATTTTTGCATACTGATACTAATACATGGGGAATATGTCTAAATATACTGAGTATTCAACCTGTACATATTTTTTATGTATTCAATTTCACTGAATCTGAGACTATTAGGAGTCAAATACTTAAATGGATCATCTAATTGGCAAATTCATTCTAATGCATGTGTCACAAAACCTCCCAATACCAGTACATAGTAAGGAGTAAATCTTACATGGAAACTCCAAAGAATTCATGCAGAGCAGTAGAAACTGCTACATCTGCCTTTTCAAGGACACGATGAAATTCTGCCTTGCTTGGTACATATCCCCAATGTTCCAAATGTTCCCCAAGGATTGGCTTTGATTTCTCAAAAACACCTGACAAAGAAAGAGAACAATTAATGTACCCAATGTAACCAAGAATTTTGATGCATTATGAAGCAAAAAATTCGTATCGTATGATTTTCTGAATTGCAAATCATTCTCCATCAAGTTGCTGAACTCAGCAAAATGTCTTACTTTTAGAGTATTAAACAATGAGACTTGCATCGTACGATTTTATGAACTGCAAATTTCTTCTCCTACGATGCATTACTGGGTCAAAAAATAAACTTTATGAAAAGGAGTACTCTGTATCATATCATCAATGAAATGTTTTTCTATTTGTTGATGAGGAAATTGATATGTATGTTTGCTTGTTTTCCTACAATACCTAGATTATCTGTAAACTGTTCTCCAAGGACAGAGAGCTTAAATCGACACCCCTCTTTGTGTAAATTGATCACAGTGTTAAAGAATGATTCAGGCCCCTTGTCATGTTCCCTGAAATAAATAGTTTGTTTACTACACTCTGAATTTTAGATTTTGAGAGAGATATCACAAAAAGCTCAAAAACACTTGATGTTTGATTGATTGTCATCACTGATGATGGTCAAGTACACAGTGTCACGTTACAGTCAACCAATCTTGCCCTACTTTCTTGCTCTACAAAAATATTTGTTCTTATTCTCAAGATCATTCTGTGGTGTAATAATTCTCTATATAACATTTTGATAAGCACACTTAAGGAATTAGTACATGTCCTTTTTAAATGTCCCTAACAGTTTAAATTAAATAAAATTCCTGACTTTACCATCTGTGAGCCCACACAATATGCAATGGCCTCTCTTCCTGTTTAGGGAGATTGTCCCTTGACACACTATTCTGCAAGTCATGACTTCTTTGGGCTTGAATTACAGAAAGGTCTGTAAATTTTTGCATCTGATTTGCTGTTGAGTTTGCAGTCACTGTGTCGGTTATATTAGATTGGTCAGTAAGTGTACATGTCTGGTTTTCTGAGGTACTAGTATTTGAAGTCACTAATTCTGTTCTCTTGGTGCTGTTTTTATTTTTTGAATCCAAATCTAGCATCTCACTGGGTGTTATGCTCTCAGTACCACAAATGGACCTCTGTAATTCTAAAGTAAGATCCTCATTGGTTGTTAATCTCTCAGACTCTGAATCACTACCCTGATAGGATAATATTGTCTCTGAGGTTGTGCTCTGATTGGCTATTAATTCCTGAGATGCTGGGTTATTGATCTGATTGCATGGTAATGAACAGGAATCCATCTGCAAACCCTCATCAGTTGAAAACTTTTTTCTATCTGAAAACAAAGTTTATGTTACCAACTTGATGTATAATATTTTCAATTTTATGATGATAATTGTACATCATTGTGTTAACACTCAGTGACTGCATTTGTGTCCGCATCAGTCATAAATCTAACATAAATAAAAATTAATCTATTTATAACTAATAGGAATATATATTTTATTGAGCATTTTGAAATCAAGTCATTTGAAAGTCCAATCATTAGGTAACAATAGCCTTGTACATTGCAGTAACTGAGGACCTGTACCTGCTTTATATTTATATAACCCTAAAAACAAGAGCCTCATGGGTCACTGTGCTCACCTGAGTCACATTTCACTCATGACAAATGAATTTTAGATACATATTTATGATTACTCTAAATTTAGTCAAGAACTTAAGGTACGTCTTCAATAAATTTTAACCTTTTGTATATTAATGTTTAAATCTGACATACAAATTGTAGCACTGCTGCTCATGAGAAAGTGTGTGTTCCTGTGTAAAGTATTTTTTATCCCCATTGGGGTCCATCTTGACTCCAAGTTCTATAAATTAATTCAACTTAAAGCTAATGTACATAAAGATATTTGCAACATAATAATAAATAATATGAACATCTGAAATATATAATAGAGAGGAAAACTATCCTGTTGTTTTGAGATGATTTTTAATGATAATTGTTCCTATATATTCTTATATTACACCTTACTGAGGTCACATTATAAATTATAGAGGATCTTGGCCTTGAGACCTTGAACAAGTGACCTCAGAATGTACATGTGTTTCTAACAATCTTCGACCTGTATCATAAATACAAAACATGTAGGTTAATAAGAAAACATAAAAATAATCCTTGATCATCACATATAAATATGTAATAATCAAGATCAAATCAACAATCTCTGACCATCAACTACCTACAGATCTGTAGCTTGCTGATCTGAAAAAATTGGGATGGACAACCACAGAGCTACAGAGCCACCCACTGAAAAAAAATCAAAGTACTCAGAAGTACAGAGAGCCGGACTCATTTACAGAAAAGTGAACAAATCCGTTTTACATGAAACATACGTTGTGATAACAGATGAATAACAACAAGCCACTGGAGGAATATGTAACACAAAAATATATTTATGGCATATATAGTATAAATAACAAAAATGTTTAAAAAATTAAATAAAATGCAGTTTGAATTTAACAGTGTAAACAATTTATCACATGTATCGTTTCGGGGTCTAACATCACTTACAGAAGTAAATAAACATTGATGCAGCTAAGTGAAACGTTTATACACAGACGGGTCCTCAGCGGGGAGTTTTGCATAAAGGTGCGCATCGGGTCACGTGCTCCCCGCATTAGTGTTAGCCTGATAACACAAGGTTCTTTATTTATGGAATGTGACGTTGACAGAGACTTGATGAAAACCTTTCACATATTTTGAACAAATATTTAATTGAAGAAGAGGGGAGAAAGTATATTACCATTAATGTTTTTGGGTTTAGAGAATTTTGTAGTTAACTTAAATTTGTTTATTTTAGTGTTTGTATTGCTTCAAAGGTGGTTGAGCATACGTACTATATTCTTACTCGTATTTCATTTGGCGGTGAGGAAGCAGCATTTCCGGTTGAACACCGTAACAAAAGCCGGCTATTGCTCTTCGAGCAATGAGCCCGGCTAAAAATGTATATTTATTGCATAAAAAAAGTGTGCTGTTTCTTGATTTATTTCTCCATATATATCAAAATATTGCTTTACCTTTGTTCCTAACATATTCTATTACTACTTCCACATCAAAACTGCATGTGCAAGTCAAGCATGAAGCGCTGTGGACTGAATTGTCTTGCCACCCAAAATGGCAGTATAAATAGGCAAAATTTTCTATGGTCTCAATTTCAGGTCCAGGAGGGCCAACAGTTTGGGGGAATGTTTTTTTGTGGAAGTAGTAAGAGAATATGTTTGGAAAACATGGTTAGTAATGTTTTGAGATGGCAGTTTAACGAGGCCGAGTCTAATTATTTCTACCCTAGAGATTTTGATCAATTTTCTTGAATTAATTTTTACTATTATAGTAATTGTTTTAAGATTAAAAAATCAAATGTTTACTGTCCCAATTTCTTAGGGGGGCAACTCAAAAGTTGTCAAATTTTACTATTGGACCCTATGGGAATTTGTTGGAAAAGCACGAAATTATCACATTTTTCCCATATTTTTAGGTCACCTGAGTCACTCAGGTGACCTATTGCTATCCATTCTCGTCCGTTCCAAATTTGGCATATAGCATCTATGGGTGAAGGCGAACAAAAATTGTGAATTACATGGTCCCTGCCCCCCCCCCCCCCCGGACCTGAGGGGTGGGGCTAAAACCACCAAAAATAATGCAATCTTTATAAATCTTCTTCTTTACTCCTGGACATCAACCAGTCAAACTGTTGGCATGATTGTAATAAGCATTGAGCCCTCTACCAAAATTGTGAATTTCATGGCCCCAGGGTCAGGGGTTCTGGTGCTAGGGTGGGGCTATATATATCATATAGTGAAAGTGCATTATTTCTTTAAAAAATCTTCTTCTCTGCTCCTGTGTATTAAATAAAGTACTGTAAATTCCTTATTTTACGCGAGTACTTAATATAGCGAAATGGCCCAAATCACGGGAACAATAATTCGCGAATCGGTGATTTATCTAGAGATTTTACATACATTAAAGCAACATAAAAATAAAAGCGAGTAATTTTATTTCGCGAATGGTGCTTCTCGCGTAATTACGCGATAATTTATTCCTCGCGTATATTTAGGAATCTACAGTAACTAAGTACATAATTATGATGAGCAAGAGTGCCTCTTCCAAAATTGTGAATTTCATGGCCCCAGGGTCAGGGGTTCTGTTGTTAGGGCAGGACTCTATTGATTATATAGTGAAGATGCGTTAATTCTTTGAAAATCTTTTTCTCTGCTCCTGGGTATTAAATAAACTAACTAAGAACATAGTTATGGTGAGCATGCCTGCCTTTTCAGAAATTGTGAATTTCATGGCCCTTGGGTCAGGGGTTCCGGTGTTAGGGCTGGGCTCTATTGATTATATAGTAAAATTACATTAATTCTTTGAAAATCTTCTTCTTTGCTCCTGGATATTAAATAAACTAAGTACATAGTTATGATTAGCATGGCTGCCTCCTCAGAAATTATGAATTTCATGGCCCCTGGGTCAGTGGTTCTGGTGTTAGGGTGGGGCTCTATTGATTATATAGGGGAAAGGCATGAATTCTTTCAAAGTCATCTTCTCTGCTTCTGGGTATTTTTCAAACAAAAGAAGTGCATGGTTATGATAAGGAAGAATGCCTCTTCCAAAATTGTGAAATTCATGGCCCCTGGGTCAGGGGTTCTGGTGGGGGGGGAGCTCTATTGATTATATAGTGAAATGCATAATTTCTTTCAAAATATTTTTTCTACTACTGGTTATAAAGTAAAGAAACAAGTGTATAGTTATGATGAGAAAGGGTGCTTCTTCCAGAATTGTGAGTTTGTGGCCAATGGGTCAGATACGTTCTGGTGTAAGGATGGGGCTTTATTTATGTAATAATATGGTGAAAATGCATTTCTTTGAAAATCTTCTATGCTTCTGGGGATGTTCAAGACAAACAGAGTAAAAGTTTTAATATGCAAGGGTGTTTTTACCAGAATTTTGAACACCTGGACCATTTAGTCAAGTGTTCTGGTCCTGGCCAGGGCTCTATTAACTTGTATTCTGCTGAGCAAAGTTATTCCCCTTTGCCATTCACCTTTGATAATAAATCAATTTAAATAATGTACTGTGGAATCATTTAAATTCGTGGGGGTCAATGTTCGTGGGCAAGCAAAATTTTATTGGTTCATGGGGATGTAATTTCATGGGCAGCTCATTTATTTGGTAGATATAATTAATCAGTATGTTGACAAAAAAATTGTTCGTGGGGATGTAAATTCGTGGGTAAGGGTGACACACGAAATCCACGAACATTGATCCCCCCTGAACAATGATGATTCCACAGTATTTGAAAGCTTAATAGAATAAGAGAATTATGCAAGAAAATTTATTGTATAATAAAAAAAAAGTACTTTTATAGTTTTAATGACTTGGAAATAATAGATGAATAAAAATGAGACAAGAATAACTTATCTTTTTAAATGTTCTTCAAAGGCCAAGAGAGGCCATTGTGAGAAGTAATAATATGGGGTTAAATAATAGACATTTTGTTAATAGTCTGTATGGGAACCGGTGCAGATGAATTCTCGGTGCAGATGAATTATTTTGGTAAAAAATAACAATGTTTAGATAGCTAGTATGTATAATATCCATGGAAGTCTTGAATATACAAGCGAGTCATGTGTATTCTTCAGCGTCATGCCTTGCTTACAAATTCGGAAAATAATGACATCGTTAGAGCCATTTCAGCGTTTTTTTTCCTAATTATTGTCATAAAAGCACATTTTCAGACCCATAGAAGTTACAGATAATGTTAATTTTGTATTAAAATCACAATATTTGGGAAAGGTGTAATGTCGCACATACGACTGCATGTAATTAAAAAGCTGCACAAAGTCATGCGCACTCGAATTAGACTCAGCCTCATTAAATATACAGAGAAATAAATCAAGAAAACAGCTCACTTTTTTGCGTGCAATAAAATTTTCATAATTAATAATATACTCTTTTTTCAATGGGTGGCACTATAGCTCTCTGGTCATCCATCCCAATTTTTCAGATCCACGAGCTGCAGCTAAACATCAACCCTGCATGACCTTGAAGCAAGTGACCCAAATCAACCCGAGTCCTCTCCTTGCACCTCTACACAAATTGTATTAAATAAGTAGTCTGTAGGTTGAAAGACATTAAAGTTATCCTGTCACATGAAAGTACTGATAGTCTATAGGCCCCATTAACCACCATGCTAGGAGAGACGATCAGAATTGTTTTTAAAGCCAAAAAAAAAATTTAAAAAAAGCTTCTATAGAACAACTGAAGACAAAAACTTGACTTCTTTATGTTGTAATGCAGTAATGCTTAAAACATGACCTCCAGGCAAACGGACCACAAATAATTCCTTTGTATCAATTTCCTTGTATTACATGTAATACACATGTAGTCTGTTAAAAATTAAGTTTGGTTTGGTTTGAAGCTGATTTTTTTTTGTAATACTTAATGACTACATTTTCTTTTTATTCTCATTTTGCTTTCCTATCATTTATAGAACAAGCATATTACCAATTTTCACAACAACTGAGTTTTACAAGATAGTTATTTGGTATGTAGAGGCAAGAAATTTTTTCCACAAAATTTGGTCATTTTTATATATAATCATGAACAATACAAATAAACATGCAGACGGAATTCTAACAGGCAGTCTCATGTAATTAAAGATAACGAAAAAATGATAAATTCAATTACAGTATAGTCATTTATTACAACAACTACAATTATATAATCTTACAAACATTATCGAACATTGAAAACATTCTTATGAAAATATACACAAATGGTTATTTATGTGTTTTTTTGGGGTATGCCTGTGTATAAAGGTATTATAATTATACATTGATTGTGACAATTTGGGTATTTTTGAAAGTTTGATACTTTCATCTTTCAAATTCATGTAACACGTTCTAAAAAGTGATAAACTGTAAACAGTATAAGAGGTAGGAATCAATATATGCAGTGTGGCTCATGCGTCCCTTCTTTATGTAGGCAAACATAATTGTCTTTTTCTCGTTTCAGCAAGGTAATTTTTACCCCAATAAGTGCAAGCAATGCAGAGATTAAATATTTGAATTCCAAAGTCATATTATTGCTTCCATGGAATGATTTATAGATAAATAGCGGTAAAGTTCAAACGCTACCATTGTGTGTGATTACCAAACATGACCTTGAATTAATGATCTATTTAATCAAGAAATTTTATATTCAATTTGTACATAAACTGCATAAGTTTTAAGGAACATTATCCCTTATACCAATAAACATTTTGTTTAAACAAATTACAGTGTTCTCCATAAGGGCTGAACTAAGGAGATTGTCTAGTTTTATCTTATACTAGTTTGCAGCTTCTAACTGTACTACACAAACAAGAGGCCCATGGGCCACAACACTCACCTGAGTAACTTTAGCACTGCTGCTTTTCATCAGATTTTAAAGAGATTTTTATACTCTAGTGAAAAATTATGACCCATATCATGTCTAACTCTGTGGGATATCTGAATCTACACAACATGGGGATGCTTCAATATCAACATGACTAACATGGCCTTGAAGTTTGGAAGAAGAAAATTCTTTTCTTGTATACATGCATTACGCAAAAAAGATTTAATTTTTTTTCTAATATATTTCAATATCAAACTTTGATCCCCTTCTGTGGCCCCACCCTACCCCTATTGGGAGGGGGGGGGTATGATTTGAACACTACACTACCTCAGGAAGCTTTCACATAAGTTTCTTTGTTTCTGCTCCAGTGGAGAAGATTTGAAAAGATTTTTCCTTTATATTTCAATGTCAAATTTAGAATCCCTATTTTTGCCCCACCAAACCCAAAGTGGCCATAATTGAAAAATTTTGAATCTAGACTACCTCAGGAAGCTTTCACATAAGTTTCATTGTTTCTGGTCTACTGGAGAAGATTGAAAAGATTTTTTCTATATATCTCAATGACAAAATTTGATTACCTATTTTTGCCCCATCCTACCCCTAGAGGCCATGAACTGTTCAATATAGAATTTACAGTACCTAGGAAGTTTCCACATGAGTTTCATCTTTTCTGGCCCACTGGTTCTTGAGAAGAAGATTTTTTGATGACCCCAACCTATTTTTGCCTTTTCTTAATTATCTCCCCTTGGAATGGGGCTTGGCCCTTCATTTGAATAATTTAGGTTCCCCTTTACCCAATTTCTTTTTGATAACTTTGGTTAAATTGGCCCAGTGGATCTTGAGAAGAAGTTGAAAATTTGAAAAGTTAAAGACAGACGGACACAGGATGATCAGAAAAGCTCACTTGAGCTTTCAGCTCAGGTGAGCTTGAAAATATTCATTTTTCATTCTCGGCTGAAGATAAGAATTATGTATAAAGGAGTAGCCTATCTGTACATCAAGTTCTACTGAAATAGGACCTAAACTGTAGGAATAGTATTCTTTTTTTTAAATAAATTAATTTCACAAAAATTTCAAATTCAACAGCTATCATGGCAACAACATATGTCAAAATCAGAAACAGATACATGTATCCTGGAGAAGTCAACTCATATGTACCAAATTCTATTGAAATCAGACCCAAAATGTATGAAGAGTAGCATATTTTGGAAGAATTTCACAAAATTTTCTTTTTTTGGTATCTATGGGAACAAAGTTCAGCAAAATAAAAAAAAACCAAATAATAGAATTATGGATATTGGTGTAGTTTAGATGTATGCCAAGTTTATTGAAATCAACCCAAAACTAGGATGAGTAGCATTTTGAAAAGTAGTTTACAGACAAATAGACACATGTTAGATGATGGAAATGTTATGTTGCAAATTTTGAATTTATTAGTGGCAGAAAATACAAAATTTACAACATGACAGAAACCTTACCATCATATATATCAACCAGTATAGCATGAAAATCCAAAAGATAAACTAGAGTGAAAATTTTTAAATGCACTCCTATGATTTATATCATTCAAAATATACATTTATGTATTTAACAATGCAAGACCCTTATATCATTTACAATGTATATATGTCTTTTAAAATGTTCTTTCCAAAGGATGTTTATTTTTCTTCTTTTCCCTGATTAATAGAAACTCCCTAGATGTATCATTGCTTGTAAAGCTTACTTTCAGTATAACTTAAACTATCAACACATTCTACTTCTGTAAAAAAAAGGTTCATCTTAAACTTTATATTATCAGTGAGATATTTTCCATTTGTAATATAGGACCAATGACAGAACATTCACCTGAGTTACATTTCTATAGAATCTCAAACATTTGGATCCCTATTATGGCCCATCTTATGATTAAAACTTCAAAGTACACTAAATGAGGATGCTTGGAAAGTGATTTGATAAAGTTTAACATTTGCTCATCTTTGCAGTACTGTATACAGGGAAAATTTCGCCCCTGTTTTATTTCCGCCCCTTTTGCCCTAAACACAGGTGGGCAAATTTAAAAAGGGTGAATTCAAAAAGCACAGTATAATTTGTTAAACAGAACTGTGACTGGGCAAATTTAAAATGAGGCAAATTTTTTTTTGCAAGTATGAAAGGGAAACCCTGTATACAGTATTTCTTTTAGACATTAGTTTGTTTTTGTTTTTGTTTTTTTTGTTGTTGTTTTTTTTTAAAATAAATATCATTGCACAATGTAAAGATTTGGACCTCTATCATAGATTTATTGAACTAATAGTAAACACACTAATAGGCAGGTTGTTATGTAAGTTTTTTTTTAAATTCTGGCTTTGGCTCTAACTTACTAAAAAGGGGGTAGGGGTGGCTATACTAGTCCCTCACTTGAACAAACTCAATCCCTTTTAATCAAGTATATTTTGAGCATCTTTAGAACTAATTGGTTAAGTAGCCGTGACACTGGAAAGATAAAGAGAGCTAGGAGTAAACAGCCTAAACTTCCTCATTTGCTTCATGAATTCTAAAAGTTCATATACGCATAAACAAGACTTCTAGACATTCAGTACGTATTTCAAGTCCCATGCATCATGGATCTCATAACTTATAAATGACTAGGGTGAAATATGCTCCAGTGACCAAGCTAAAAAAAATGTTACCCTTTACTAGCAGGCAATTTGTTAAATAGTAGCTAAAGGGAGAATACTCTTAAAACATTTTATAGTTTCAAATTTGTAGCACTGGCAGGTAATATTTCATTGAGAGAAAAGGACTTACCAAGTAAAGGGAAATAAATCACTTGACATTTGGATCTGATCTGGTTGGCCAAATTCTTAGGTCGATAGTCTGGAATAATGTGCAGAAAATGGTCGATTGAGGATAGGAAAGATTCCATGTTATGATGGGAGTTAAAGACAACTCTATCTGCAACTAAACTGTAAATAAAAAATATTGAAATTGAAATGAAATATGGAGATAATGAACAGTATTCAAGCTCAAAGTCCATTAAAACGATACAAATCGAGAGCAGAGCAAACATGGACCTCCAAAAATATCAGAGGACGAGTGAGCATCCCCTGCCGGCCAGTCATGCATACACATACAATAAAACTTGCTGAATCCAGCCATTGGCAGTCCTTTAAATTTTCACTGGATTAGACAATATTCAGATTGGAGAACATTGAATCTTTGAAACTGTCCAGAATAAATCTTTTTATTTTCTGCAATGTGTATTGGTTCCACACAGATTTTTTTTAAACATGCCCCCATAATGCAGACAATCACCTGTAAACCCAGCTAGTCTTTTTTTTTCCTCAAGAATTGAATTGACAGATCAGAGAGTACATGCATACAGTACCACTTTTATATTTTCATCATATCAGTATGATCAGAATATCTTAGTTGTCATTATTTCCAGATAAAAATCATCAATTGTTTCTTTTCTATTAAGTACATTCATGTTTAACTGAGGCTTACATATAATCTTGGTCAGGTAAAGAATGGATTATTACGTAACAGGATAACACAGCTTGAATATAAAACACTTAATGGAAGTATAAAAATAAAAAAGGCCTTAACAAATAAAACACTAATATAATTGAATTAACCTTGAAAGAAAGCTTTCAAAAATAACTAGCTTTTGTTATGTACTGTCAACTTGTAAAAATACTGTAAGTCTTGTCATTTTCCTGGTCAACTAATTACACTGTATTGCAGTTAGTAACTAAAAACTGAAATGCAAATTTTAAGAACCTACATTTTACGTATTGCAGATCAAATGGCATTGTAAAAAATATTATCAATTAACACAGAAATTTTGAACTATCTATTAAGGACAAATTTAAAAAAATATCAAATTAAAATTATACATTGTTATGTGAAGAATAAAAACAAAAAATCTCACCATGACAGAATTTGGTTGTAGCCATGCTGAATGTCTCTTTCTTTCTTTTCTCTCACAGGATAAATGAGCTGATTTTCATGAAAATAAATGATTTTCTTTAGTGGTGCCAAGTCTGGTCTAAGAGCTGTTAGCTCGGCTAAATTCAGGACACTACTGCAGAAAAGGACCCTGTAAAAAAGATACAGTTTTCAACTTAATTTTAACTTCATCTATCTAACTTTGAGAAACTGCAACCATCAACACTGTACATGTAAACTATCTTTTATTAGTATGTGAGAAATATTCCTGAGTTTTGCAACATTCTTTTACTTGTGAATACTTGTCGTGGCAAACCAATTATTTGTTCAAGAATGTAAACTATGTAGAATATTTCCTATGTTGCAAGAATTAAGAGCCATTCTCTGTAATGACTTTAACTTTTATATAGGAGCTGTGGCACGCATAGTCTCAGAATTTCTCCAAACTCTCTATGATAAAAGTCTTTGATACCCTAAACTCAAATCAGGCAAAAATGGGTTGCTACATGTCATGGTTACCATAGTAACATGTCCTAAAGTTTGAAAATTGGCATTTTTCAACACGTTCAGAGTCCCACAGTTAACGTTTGCAGCAAAGCAAACAAAAGGCAATGACTGTTTCTGAAAGTTGAAGGCCTGATGTCTTAAATGCATGATAAACATGTTTGGTAAATCAACTATTACATATGTTACTATGGAAACAAAGTATTCAAAAGTAATAATTTTTTTCATTTAATTTTATAAAGTCATACACTTAAGAATAAAAACAATTATAGGTTGAAATGCAAGCAAATAATAGACAAAAGATCCATGTAACATATACCAAGGACGAAATATGATATTTCTTATAGGTTGGCAATGGTTGCCATGGTTTTAATACCACAAAGGGATTTAAATTAACTCTTTTTGTGTTTTAATCTTATCCTATCTTTTTAAAAAGCATATTTCTATTTAACTGATGATCAATTTTTAAAGGTGTTGGTGTGACCCTAATTTTCACATTTTAAAATATTCAAATTCAATTCTTAAAATAGAGCGTTGCTATGGAAATTAGCCGAAAAAATATGCATAAAAATCTGAAAAATATTTTGTTTCCTTGGATACGTACCCTTGTATGTAGATTCCCAAAACTTTTATGATTGATGTACATGAACAACTAACCTGACTTTCAATTTTGACTTCTTCCCAATCTCTAACTGGATGCAAAAAGCTGGCACATAGGATTTAAAATTGATATAAAAGTAACAAAATCGAATATTTTCCCTTCTTGGTAACCATAGCAACAGTGTTGTATTTTTCAACAAACTTTATCAATATATGATATTCAACTTAAGTTCTACCAGATAAGTACTATTCAAGGTAAGTAAAATAATGTGTTTCTTGATTAAAAGGTAAGTAAATTCCTAAAGCAGCACAAAAATATCACTTTAAACAACTGGGTACATTGTTTCCATGGTTACACTGCAAAGTAACAATTAATCCCAATTTCTCTTATGTTGTCGGTGTTGCAAGGTCCTAAAGATATCTATGTGTCAGTCATGAATTGTATTGTTTTTCCTCAAGATAGTAGCATTAACCCAATCTTAGCAACAGATTTTGCTAGTTACACTGTGTAACCATGGCAACCATGAAAGTTATTTTTAGAATAATATTGCCAATACCTAATTACTAAAGGTCAAATAGTTTTATTGTTTTTCTTTGGTTGTTGATGGAGTTTGATCACGTAACATCTATAATTAGTGAATATTGAGCGTTTTTCATCATTTTTAAGCATCTAAAATGTATTCCAAATGTACCCATGGTTACCACTTACTTAGAGATAATTCTAAATAGTTTCTTTATAGCATAAGTGGCAACAAGGTGTCATGTTTTTGTGAGAATGGTTTGTTTGTTTTTCTTAGTCTTTATTAAGGCTTAATAAAGATTCAAAGTAGCTGAAAATCTCCATTTTTTCAACTTTTCTGGCTGTTACCATGGCAACCAAGACACATAGCAACGAAATTTTGTTTGATATATGTTTCTGGTGTCAAGTTGTAATAATGGACAAAGTTTCATCAAAATCGGTGACCATGCGTGGCAAAGAAGTTTAAGTGGTTACAGAGAATCGCTATTAATAGTCAAGGATGGATTTCAAACTGGTGAATAAAAGTTGTCACAAATAATAATTGGTTCACAGTATCTGTAGTCAAAAAATTCCAAGTGAGTCACCTTCCTACTTTCTGTCATGTCCCATGGATATCTGGTTTTTCACACAGGCAGGGCTGGACCCCCCCCCCCCCCTTTACCATTTTTTTTCTTTTTAATTAAATCTGGGGTTGACACACTTTTTTTTTTTTTTTTTATCTATTTTTGTATTCTTATATGTGCTACCTGATATTAATAATGTAACCCTTTTATTTCAATAAGCTGTTTTTAAAATATATTGTTTTCGACTGATACATGTTACATAAATCTCTTTTTTTGTATTAGTCAAACACTCATAAATGACATCTCCCTATTTTTGCTATTTCTCAATTACTTCCCCTTGAAAGAGGGCACTGTTCTTGTTTACAACAAAATTGATTCCCCTTCCAGGACTTTACATTAACTTTTTTTCATACTTGTCCATTCGTACAAGTGACCAAGACATTTACTTGTCTGAACTTCAACTTCACTTGTCTGAAAATATTTCAATGAAGAACTAATACTGCCAACTTGAAAACTATTACTTAAAATAAAGTCCATTATATACATGCTTGATTGATTTGCGATGTTATTGATAAATACAACAAACACATAAACAAAATTCTGTCTAGGCTTTCTGTCCTGACAGCAACATAAATGTTCACAATGAAATATAGAGATAATGAACAATATTCAAGCTCATAGTTCATAAAATTTTAAACAATACATATCGGGAGCAGAGCAAACAAGGACCTCCAAAAACATCAGAGGCAGGATCAGGTGCTGTGGAGGAGTAAGCATCCCCTGTCAACCGCTCACAACTGCTGTGTGCTCCTTGTAATGACCAAGTAAACGGAAGAATCTGTAAAATTGTTAATGTGTAAATAATGGCCTAACGATTAGTATGAAAAATGTCAGTCAGTATTTGACATGATGATAGATTGTATTTGCTGATAAGGTCATTGTATCGACCATAGAACTTGCAAAATGATGACTTCAAATGAGAAAGTTGATATCCTTGTTTCATCAACTTGTTGGTTAAAAGCTTGCTGTGTTTTAAAAATTGATCATACGTAGAGCATGCTCTTGAGTATCGAATCAACTGGGAGACATAAACCCCATATGCAGGTGATAAGGGTACATTGTTACACAAGAAAGGGAAGCTAAGAGAAAATTTGAAGTCATCAAGTTTTATATCATAAAGTTTTGTTGTTAGGTTGCCATCAACGTCCTTTTCCAGTAAAATATCCAAATATGAAACAGATGTGTCAGACTCTGTGATTTCTTTTATTTCAAGTTCACTTGGATATATCGAATTGACATATGAATGGAAGTAACTATTGTTAATTGATAATATATCGTCGATATATCTAAATATCGAGTTGAAGGCCACAACAAGAGTTTTCTTCTTCAGTTTTCTTCTTCACAAGTGAAACTGTCAACATCAAACAGAATCCATGCCTCTGCAGTACTCGGCAATTAGTGAACTTTGATCCCGATCGAGTGTGAACTGAATTAAAGAGCGATTGATATCGGGGTCTAAATTTATTTTTCATGAACTGCTTCCATTTTTAAACTTCCGATAAACTTTTCACCAGTCGTTCTTTTTATTAATTTGGAGACTTCTTTGCATAAAAAAGCATTTGTTCAATCAGACAAGTGCCCAGCAATGTTTATTTGTCTGTATTTTTTTTTTTTTTCACCGGTACCGGGCAGGCATTAATGTTGAGCCCTGCCTTCACCCAATGATGCTTTGTGACAAGTTTGGTTGAAAATGGCTCAATGGTTCTGGAGAGCTCTGAGAAGAAGCCAAAAATGTTAAAAGCTAACAATGACAGATGTCAGACAACGAACAACAGACAGACAAATGTTGATCAGAAAAACTCACTTGAGTATTTGGCTCTGGTGAGCTTAATATTAGGGATGTGCCATTTTATCAGTATACCAGTATATCGTCATTTTTAATTGTTTGATACATATCATGATATGGAGTCTAACATACTGGTATTTAGGTGCATAGTTATGGTACATAGTTATAAATTCAAAAATTTATTTATTTATCTGTTCAATCTTTTAAATTACAATTACAAGAAGTGTAAGAAATGTTGAAAACGGTAAAAGAACGGCATCTTAGCATCCAAACATGCACATGCTTTAAAGTATTATAAATTAATAAAAAAGTGAAGAAAACTGTTATTTTTTCCAGCATATTTTTAAGGAAAATTATGAATAATCATTTAAAATCAGTGTAAAACTTACTTGTAAAAATATTATGATATCATCGTGATATTTGGGGGAAAATCGTCATATAGCGATACGAAATTTTTGGCGATACCCATTCCTACTTAATATACATGTAATGCTTCAGAAAGAAGGAGGTACGGTTTTAGCTTTATTGTGCCCTAAAAATTTAATACTTTCAAAAAGTTTTGAAACTGGCTTAAATATTTGTTGAGTATATGACAGTGATAAATCAGGAAAAAATATAGCATGAAAGAGTGCCATTCTGGAAATATGACGTCATTAATTTGATGCATTTCTCTATTTTAAACAGAAAAAGCCTCAAAATGACCCATTTCAAGGGTTATTTTCCTTAAGAAAATAGTGTCCACAACCGTCGCCCACGTTTATTTTCGGATATGTTGTGTAAAATTCTTTGAAAAATCACGTATCTCAAAATCTTTGTGGGCGATGCCTGTGGACAATATCATCTGAGAGAAAATTCCATTGAAAATTGGTGTCTTCTGCAACTTTTCAAGAAAATACGGGAAAATGCACAAGTTTATGACGTCACAATTAGCATTTAGAAGGTCATGTGAGAAAATGATTTGTATGATCCTTCTGTGTGTAATTTCAATGATTCAGAAATCATGAGTTTTAATATTTTACATTACTTTCATTTTTAAGAAAAACACAGGGCAAAATTTGTATTGAAACCGTACCTTGTTCTTTCACTCAACTGAACAAGTTGACTTATGATACGTTTATTTATCATCAAGTTTGACTTTTAGACATGCTCAAAATTCTTTGGAAATCCCCCTTTTTTCCAAAATATTTCAAATTACCTGTAATCTTTGGAGACAGGGATATTTTGAGCCAAGTAGAGGGCAGCAACCCTTGATCTCCAGTGCCATTTTTTGGCTGTCATTGTAATCAAATGGCAATCTGGAATTGTATTGTAAATCATATCTATGAGCTGCTTATGTGAGCCCCCATAGAATGGTTCTATCAAGAGATTAACCGCTTTTGTTTCCGATATAGAGCTCATCTCAGTTAGCATGACAGACTGATCATGACAGGTTACGAGGTAAGGAATGAGAGCACCAAATCCCCGGATGAACACATGGCTTTGTTTGTTATGGAATGTTGTATAGAGTACTGAATGGTTAGGCGTTATGCCATTGGCTGAAATCAGGTATGTAATTGTTTTCATTTTAAAGTAAAATTAATGATGTTTGAAATAAATGATGGGATGAGGGAATATTACAGAAACTATAGAATTACCAGGGGAGATTTTAGGAGTGGGGGTTGATTTTTGCTGTAGAGTGTTATTTACTGCTGATCGCTATAAGTTGTAAACAACTGCAATTTTGACCTACAAACGCCATGGGACCATATATTTTTTTCAGTATTTTTTGTTAGGGCTTAGAACAAAGTTTCAAATGATGCCAAGGATTTTTCTGAAATTGTCATAGTAAAGTACTGAGAGGGCCTAAGGTTTGTATAGAGTTCTATGGGAAAATAATTAGTGGTCTTTTCCCGTAAGGTTACATGCGAAATCATGTAGGATGTTTAATATTTAAACTAAAAAAGAAATTGAGCCGATTTAATATTTTTCCCGGATTTAGTTCTACTTTTATGTCTTAAAGACATACTAGGGGTACATAGAAAGGCATCAAATCTTGCTGTTTTATGTGAATTAGGTCGTTTTCCTCTGTACTATTTATGTTATGAATATATGTTTAAATATTTTAAGAGACTTAAGGAAATGGAAAACAAACATGATTATAATAATTATTTAGTGATTTCTGCATTTAAAGAAGACAAAAAACTTGTATCTAGAATATCTTGGCAAAGAAAACTGTCTTCATTACTACAAAAATTAAATATCACTTCTTTGGATATTTCTCACACAACCTTGAAAAACAAATTACAAGAGCATTACCAAAACAAGATACATGAACAACTGAAAAATATAAGCAAATCAAACTCTGGAAAGTTAGCTTTTTATAGTAAAATTGTAATTCAAAATGAATACAAATTGCAAAGTTATTTAAAGCTGCCTTTAAAGAAAAGTTTTAGATCTGTATTAACAAAATTAAGGATCAGTGCCCATCCATTGTATATTGAAACGGGCAGATACTGTAAACCCCCTATTCCTAGAGAAAAACGTTTATGCTATTCATGTAAATTATTTATTGAAGATGAAAAACATTTTGTTCTATACTGTTCAAAGTATGACCAATTTAGATGCAATTATACTGATATATTTAATGTAAACACATATACTAGTGATAATCCCATTAGAAAAATTGTCAATCCTACAAATGTTACAACTGCTAGAAGGATATGTTGTTTTTTGAAAAAGTGCTTTGACACCAGAAAAGAAAGTCAGCAATGAATACTTAGAGATATGTGAATATACTCTACATTATTTTGTTCAACTCACATTTGTCATTTTGTATATGTATGTATTATTCTTGTTAATTCGTTTTATGTCATGACTGTATGCCGACATGGTAATTGTCAATAAAGTGAATTGAATTGAACTTTGTTCCAGCTTGCTCCAACATGTTTTTAAAAAATCAGCCGTTAACCATTCTCAGCATTTTGAAATGAAGATTAAAAAATAGATAAGATAAGATAAGATATGTTTTATTACTAATTCAGTGCCCAAATGAGCATAAAGAGAACAAACTTACAAGAACAGGGCCTAAAATATAGTTGAAAGAAAAAGAAAAAAAATCATTTAGACATACATGCACCTATATAAACATGTACATAAAATAGACATATGACTCTTCAATATATATATATATATATATATATATATATATATATATATATATATATATATATATATATATATATATATATATATATATATATATATATATATATATATATATATATATATATATATACAGGTAACCAGAAAAAAGTATTTTTCTACTGCATTAAACTATCTGGTGAATAATCTTCTATAGAGTATAATTAGTATCCTTATTAAACAAAATTTTCAATTTCATGCGCGGATTTAGAGTGGGGGGTCCGGACCCCCCCCCCCCTTCCCCTGGAATTTCCAGAGTTAATAAAAGTATATACTGAAGCAAATAAACAATTACTTTGCCCCCCCCCCCCCCTTAGAAAACGTGGACCCCACCATCACCACCACGAAATAGGTGTTTTTCACGTTTGGGGAGTGGAATTTATTTATTTATTTTATTTTATTTTATTTTATTTTTTTTTGGCTCGTCAAGGAATTTTTGGGTTGGAAATTTTTTTTTGAAAGGGGTGACCCCCCCCCCCCCTGGAAAAAACTTATGGATCTGCTGAGTTTGTCAAAATTTCATTTTTGTTTTAAGTTTTTATTTTATTACAGGTAACTCTTGATGGCTCGAACTTCATCACTCTCTCGAAGTTCTTGATCGCTCGAAGTGAGTCTCCGGTCCCGAATTTTTTCCCTAACTAAGGAAATTTACTCTTGATTTCTCGAACTCTTGATCTCTCGAAACCCTTGATCCCTCGAAGTCAAAATGCAGTTCCACGATGCATTTTCTATTGGAATTTACCCTCGATACCTCGAAGCACTTGGCTATATGTACACAAGGTTTTTATTATATAATTTTTTTAAAAGGACCATAGGCTCGTATTTTTAGTATCAAAAGGGGGAGGTTTTTTTTTTGACATAGTCTACTTCTGCTTTAAAAGTATAAAAAAAATTATTCGAAGCACCCCCACCCCCCTTTCACACTCACACACATATTTTGTTGCAGTAAGCTCTAATCATCCCAATTTTTTTTGTTGTTGTTGTCGAAAATGAGAGCGAAAATCCCCCTTCTCTTCTTCTTTTACCGGCTCCAATTAAATTATGTATAAAAGGTAAAAATCATGCTGGGAAAGGATCCTCGTTAAAATCTGAACAAAATAATGTCGGTTTAAAAGCTCTACATGAGCGCATGTAATTGCTATTTCATGTATAAAATACCGCCTTTTTTAAAAATAAAAACACTCTACTAACCTTATCCCTCCTTTTCAAAGATGATACCTGTTTTCCATAATCATCTGTTAACAAATTTGGTCAGAAATGACGGTAGTATAAGTGAAAAATATCCCGTAATAGATAAAATTGGTTTATCTGCTAAATACGCAGGAGCATAACAGAAGATTTTCAAAGAAATAAATAAGTGCATTTCCACTATATAATCAATAGAGCCCCTCTACCAAACCCCTGACCCTGAGGCCATAAATTTCTGAATTTTAAGAGAAACACCCTTGCAATAATAATTATGCACTTAGTATAACTTAGTATAACTGCTTAATACCAAGGAACAGAGAAGAAGATTTTCATAGCAATATTGCATTTTCAGTACATAATATATAAAACAGATCTCCGCTCTAACATCAGAACCCTTGATCCAGGGGTCATGAAATTCACAATTTTGGAAGAGGTACTCTTGCTCATCGTAACCATGCACATAGTTTGTTTGCTTAATACCAAGGAGTAGAGAAGAAGATTTTCAAAGCAATGATGCATTTTCACTATATCTGATCTAGCCCCACCCTAACACCAGAACCCTTAACCCTGGGGCCATGAATTTCACAATTTTGGTAGAGGGCCCAGTGCTCATTAAAATTATGCCAACAGTTTGACTAATTGATGTCCAGAAGTAAAGAAGAAGATTTTTTTTTTAAAGATAACACTTATCTTGATAGTTTTAGCCCCACCCCCAAGGCCCAGGGGGGGATGTGGGCATTAAATTCAAAATTTTTGTTCCCCTTCACCCAAAGATGCTATCTGCCAAATTTGGTTGGTCAAAATTGATTTAGAAAAGAAGCTTAAAATGTTCACCTGTTGTCTACACAATTAAACTTTTTAAAATATAATCATAATTTACAGATATTTCGATTTTAAAGTATTAAATTTTTTTTTGAGAAGAACGATTTCCGTACAATGGAACGTATAGTATTATATAAGAAATTGTAAATAATATTGTACAGGACGACAAAAATGTAATTTTGCTTCAATCAAAGTTTAAAACTAGTTCTTCCATCGCAAATATTAACAATAGAAATTATAAACGTTCTTTTTTTCTGTCATTAAAATAGTTAATTACAATATTGCAACAAAAATTTCTGACATTAAAGTTGCAGCTCATATTTCTTCAAGTCAAGTTTATCCAGATGTTCAAATAAAAGAGAAAAATATTTGTGAATAAACAAAGAATACAGGCGCGTAGCCAGAATGGAAGAGTGTACGCAGAGAGCAGCAAGTTGGGGAGAGGGGGGGGGGGGGGCTGGGTTGAAGCCGTCGGAAGCTCCTAAGTTTTACCAAATATTTCATTTATTTTCGTGCCACAAAAAAATCATGCCATTTCGCTTTTGTACAGAAAGAAAAATGTTTTAACGCAATGTTAATTGTTCCTTGAAAAGTAGTTATTGTATGAGTAACTGAGGCTAAACATTTTACCGATATATTGATATCATATACTCTCTTTCAACGTCCAACAACAAGTATATAATAAATGTTGATTATTAACAAAAATTAAATATTGAATCTTTTTTATCATAAACTAGTACTAGTTAATCAAAGCATTCAACGATGTGTTTGAAATTAAATTTCTCAAAGATCTTTAAATAAAATCATTAATGTATTATAAAACAATTACAGATTTATGAATGATTTATTTGGATTTGGCAATGATTATTTAATGAAAGATTTCAAATTTCAAATTTAATTAATATACAGACATCATGTTTTTTGAACTCTATCTTATAACAGACCATGGAGTGTTTTTTTACAATACTCTTCATGAACAGGGAAGGAAAATTTCAAATTTTGCCACACTCCTGACCCCAGGACCACAAACTGAGAATAAACTTAAGGCAAAATTTATATTTTGAATATCTCAAGTTTTAATTCAACACAAATGTTTAAAAACTTGCAGGTATATGTAATATTAAAATACACACATTATGAAAAATTTTCTTTATTTATTTTAAAAAACTGTGCTAATTTGAAATTTTTAGAAAAAGTCTATTCTCAGTTTATGGTCTTTGGGCCTGATATTTTTTCACACTGTGACAAAATATCACTGTTATATCTTTTCACATTAAATAAATTACAGTAGTCAAACTTTGTTATCTCTAACTTGATGGGACTGAGAAAAAACTTCGAGATATCTGTGGGTTTGAGATATTGAGGATAAAATACTTAGAGAAAAAGTGACTGGGACTTCCAAATCACTTTGAGATATCCATGGTATTCGAGATATCAGTGTTTGAGATACCGAAATTCAACTGTATTTCACTGTTGAAAATGTACTAAAAATATTAAGAATGGGATCCATTATTCTAAAGCCACAGGTTCAGAACTGGGTTTGGGTTACGTCTTTAATTTTACATAGGAAAAAATCTCAACATATCTTCTATAAATTATATTTTTAATGCTTTATTGCCCGTTTTGATGACTAATCACTGGTTTCTCATTTTTTCAAAGTGCAATCAATCAAATTCTATGTGATAAACTGAGGTGAATTTCAGTCACTTCACAAATAAATAACAAAAAGCTATAAATACCTGTAAATAAGAATATAATAATTTTATTTCTTGGAAAATTTTTACATGTAGTTACATGATACTATAATCTCATTTACAGAGAATTAAAATGCTCAACAGAAAAACAAATCATAATTTCCTTCAATGGTTATAAAGCTGTATAGATTTTTTAAAATAATAATTGTCTTCACAAAATCACAGATAAGCAAGACCACTAACACAGGCACAGAAAAACTTGTATATTTACAGTTATTACATTTTCAACAGTGAAATACTGTGATTTATTTATTGAATAAAAGTGATATTCTCTCACAGTGTGAAAGGATACCAAAAATGATATTCTCTCACAGTGTGAAAGGATATCAAAGTAAGTAAAAAATAATTTCTGGCCTGTCATAAGATAGAGATAGTAACTAAGCATCTTGATAGAGCTAAAACTGCAAAGTTCTTCCTAAATATGTTGCTAAAATCCATGCTATGTAATGTTTTCAATCTGACACACAACTTCTAAGCTATGACGTCTCAACCGCTCAACTATGACGTCAAGTCTATGACACTGTGTTAAGAAAAGACAGAGGCAAAGGGAAAATCAAAGAAAATGTAATAAACAGAAAATTCAATGTTTTATAGATAAATATGGAATTTATTTCACTCGTGAGACAGGATTTTTTGATATTTTCACTCGTGCTTCGCACTCGTGAAAATATAAAAAAAATCCTGTCCCACTCGTGAAATAAATTCCATATTCATCTACAAAACATTGAATATCCTCTATTTATATCGTAACATTGTAGTATGTAAAATTTCCTGGTTATTTGGTATATGTGTACTTTGAAGTACATGTACACTGTATTTGTATTTTGATTTTGCCAAACATTGATTGAGGGCATTTTTCATTATCAAAATATTGATAATAGTAATGGTTTTAAAAACAAACATTCAATTTTTGGAAACCATAAGCATAAGACTTGTAACTCTTTGACAGGAACAAAAAAAACCCCAGAAGTTCTAATGAGACTGTAGCTCTACTGGTTTTGAACTTATAACAAGGAAGAGAAAAGTTGCACTTGGACTTAACACTTTGCAACTGCAATAAATGGAATAATGATCCTTGGTTTAGTCTCTTTTTGTGGCAAAAAAATCAAAAGCGATATACATGTACAGAATTATGTACCTTAGTGTTGTCTACTTGTGTGCCAAGTTATACTGAAATAAGACCAAAGTTATATTGAAATCGGACCAAAACTGTAGGAGGAGTAGTGTTTTGAAAGTATTTCACCGAAATTTCTATTTCAGTAACATTCATCGAAATCAAAAACTGATATACAGAATTATGTATCTTGGTGTAGTCTACCTGTGTGCAAGTTATATTGAAATCAGACCAAAACTGTAGGAGGAGTAGCATTTTGAAAAATTGTTTACAGACAGAGGAACAGACAGATGGATGGACGGCGGACACCTTCCTATCGCATAAGCTCTTCCAGTCTCTGACCAGTAGAGCTAAAATCACATTTTACAATGCTTATGCAATGGATATTTAATCAATAGGAACTGTATAATACCACATGTGGAGGATTTTTATTTCATGAATACTCAAAATATAATCTTAATACCGTGTAGACAAAAATAAAACAATAATTAAAAAATCATACTAAACGATAACAATAAAACAGGAAATTATAAAACAATTGTATCACATAGAAAGCACAACTGAGAAAACTCTTAATCATCAAATACTTTCTTTATTAGTTGGTGAAATCATTAGCACTTATTAATTATTAGTAAAGTGTGAAAAAATAACCACCCATTCTTCAAAACAGTCTACCTGTGAATAAATACATGAAAATAAAACCAATGGAGGACAAGTATAAAAGTTTTCTTTAATAAATTATAAATTGGAAACAACTGCCCACCAGAGAAATTTCTTAAAATCAAAATAACTTCCAGATAGAAAAGTGCCTGTTGGGGAGGGTGTATATGACACCAGAGTTGCTACCAACATGACCCTTCACGACTCTTCTACCTGGATGAACTTCATCTTCTGCACAATCTGCTTTTTCCAATTGACCAGTGAGTCAGCTAATTTAAGTAATCAGGCTTAATTTGTTATGTCATATGTCAATTTGTTTTATTATACTTCAGAATAATATAGTCATTCTGATTGGTTTAGCATGTGCATCACGCGCAGTGTGACAACTATGTTGTCTCCCTTCAAATGACAATGAAGCAGGGCAAGTGAGCTCACAGGGTGACAACTGTGTTGTCTCCCTTTAGGTGAAATTAAAATGTCAAAGATGTCTGTTGAAATATTTTGAAAATATTGAATCAGAGCAGTTGATAGGAGAATAAAAGAGGTTTTACTGATATTTCCTACTCTATTTTATCAAATTTAGATTCTTCAGGATAATAAAACTATTATGGACTGTTTAGAATCAGGTCTGAGAAGGATTGTCACCTGAGGGTGCAAGCACCCTCCCCTCTAAACAGTCCATAATTGTATAATGTCATATGATGTCAAATGTATTTGTACCCCACATATGAACTATATCAAAATTGATAACATATCATGGATCATGTCCATTTCTATGTAAACATGCATAACAAGACATAAAAATTCTAATGATTTTTAAATCACCCCTAGTATCATATTTTGAAGGAGTTGCCTATCCTTAAGTATATAGGTCTCTGGTATTATATTGTGAAGGAGTTGCCTATCCCTTTAGTATATAGGTGCCTGGTATCATATTGTAGAGGTGTATCCTCTCACCCTTATGTATGGATAATATTTCATACAGACCTCAACCTTTACAAGTACAAAATGGATAATCAATTACTGTGAAATCACTAATTAAGGGGAGTTCGGGGGGAATTTTTCCTTGATTTTGTGGTATGAGGAGATCCACAAAATTGTGCCCCACAAAATGTTAAAATTCTATATAACAGCATAAAGTCTATCCTTCATCCAAGAAATCAAATCCTCTTGAACCAATATTTTTCCTCAAGCCACGAAAATCTGACCCCATGAAAAATCAGTAATTTTACAGTATATATATAATTAAATATATATTAAAATAAGTGAACCATACCAAAAATCATAATTATTATTATAATACATTGTATCACTAATATGGGATAATTAGAAAATTAATTGCAAAATAGAGGTACATGTATATAGACATTTTGAAAAATATGGCAAAGAGAGATTCCCTTTAGTCTGACCTTATGTTTCTTGAAGCTGTCTGCATATATTAGTATATTAAATAAAGCATTGGCAAATGTTTTGAGAGCATTTTAAAAAATATTGTCTTTTTTTTATCATATTATATGATAATATTTAGATGTCAAGATGATTTCATGTTTTTGGATGTTCTTAAATCACAAGACTTAAGATTAGCTATATTTGGCAGCAGCTTGAATGGACTCATCAAGGTATTTCATGCCTCTATATACATCCAGGAAAGAGCAGTAGAGTGGTGCTGGGGCAATACGGATCACGTTAGGTTTTCTCTCGTCACACTGGAAGCAAAATCATTACATAATTTTAGAGCCTTTGTATAATATTTCTTATTGAGTTGTTACTGGATGACATCACAGTCGTGATGGATTGTTATTACACCTATGCCAAACATAAACATCTTCTCAAACTTACTTATTAAATAATTAATATTTCATTAATTCTTCCTTTTCCAGTAAATGGAATGGAAACATATGTAGCTGCAATTATGTAACCCTCTCTGATTTTTTTTTTTTGGAGAGGCTCCTGAAAATATCAGATTAACAAAAATCGTAGAGGGCTACATTATTGCAGCTAAAACATATGCAGTTCTATTTATGTCACAATTTATGAACTTTAGAACCTACTACAACTCCTCTTTTGGTGAGTTCTTCAAACACATGTGCAACAGGAACAGAAAAGGACAGGGAGAGCTGTGCCCCCCTCTGGGAGGGATCTGAGGGGGTAATGATGTCTACATGGACATGTTTCCAGTCTTCTACATTTTGATCATTCATGTGTAGTGTCCTATTCTGACCATTTTGTAGCAGTGCACCATTTTGTACACCGTTTTGTGAGGGTATCTTGCTCTGTTGTCCATACTTCAGAGTGATCAGAGCCTCTAGATAAGCAGTTAAAAGTAAGGATTTAGCTCGAAGCTCTTGCATGCTGGTCTTGTTGAAAATCTGTCAAAAAAATTAATTCCTTCTTTATTACAAATTGATAAGCCTGACATAAACTTACCACTTTTCTTATCAAAGACCTTGACCTTGATAAACAACCAAATGTCAAGGTCATGACATACTCTATGGTTAAAAACAGCATTGGTGTAAAGCAAGATTTTCCAATGTCTCTTTCTTACAAATTTATGACCAGAGTGCTTGGAGACACAATGAATTTATGCTCATAAAAAGCATATAAATACCAATTTTTATACATATTCTCTCAAATTTAACCAGAGTTTAAAGACCTTTCAAATTTACTTTATGCTTCAATTACTCTGAAAAACAACAAACTGACTTTATCCTTAAGAAACTGGAAATGCACTAATTGGACTAATACCCCATCCCTCTCTGAGAAACTATAGAAAAGAATACATAAATGTACTTTAAAAAAGATCTCTGTCATCTTGAAAAAAAAAATCATATTGCAAATTCCTGTTGCCTGAATCTTGATGAAATGTAATTTCATCAAGAGTCCTGTGGCCTTGTCCCACTTAACCTGGGCTACGCTTGAGACAAACCCCTGAGTCTTCACTAGCAACCTTTCTCCCAAGTAAGTTTCTGTAACAGGAAAGGCTGGACCGGGAATCGAACCCAAGACCCCTGCATTACTAGTCAGTTGCTCTACCAACTGAGCTACCTAGGCCGATATCCACGGCCCAAACCATTCCTCCCTCCTTAAATTGTCTTCACCCTCCAAGACACAACCCAAGTTCTTATTTGCCCCTGGCAGGACTTTCACCTGCAAGTCCAGGGGTGGTCAACGGCACCAAATCTGTAACAGGAAATGAGAAAATATACGTCTGAAATGGGATTCAACTCGGGACCCCTGCATCAGGTGTCAGGTGCTCTACCAACTGAGCTACCCAGGCCAATATCCACAGCCTAAACCATTACATTTCTAATATTTTTACATTTCAAAGTTGTGGATAGAACAGTAATTTCATATCTTTGTACTTTGTGATTTTGACAATATCAAAACATGATCAGTTGCAATATCTATATCATTCAAGTAAGTGCTTGTATTGTTTTTAAAATTTCCTATAAAATGTGTCCAGAATTTTACTTTTCTAACTCTTTTCAAAGTAGTTATGTTACAATAAAACCTTTAAAAAGCCACAACTTTTTTTTTATATTTTGACAAATCAGTATGAAAATACTAGGTGCACACATTCCCATGGTATGTTTAATTTCTACAATACTGAAAAGAAAATTCAACAGTTTCAGAGATATCATCTCTGGGCAAAAAAATGTCTATAGACAGACAAACATGGTGATTCCAGTATCCCCTGCCCCACTTCATTTGAGGGGGTATAACAGATTAACCTACTTCTAAACTGGCCTTGATTGATGGAGCCAAAAAACCAGGAGTGTTTGAGATTCTGTACTGTAAGGCACCAGAGTAAGGGCACCAATCTGAAAAACAAAAGGATTATTTTGGTCACCTGAAAACTACATTTGTATTAAAGCTTTATAAATTAAGCCCCTCTGGGACCCCACCATGGACCACTCTATGAGTGCCATGATATTAGCCAGGGCCCTCTATAATTGGAGCCATTCAAAGGTCACATTCCCAATTCAAAAAGGGTACCTTTTTCCCAAATTGAATGTGTTCATTTTCCCAATAGATATTTCTTCCCAAAATTGAAGATCATATAGTTGGACATACAACAAATAAACTTGCTACTCATACTCTATATATAACTTTGATAATTGCAAAACATGAATTTAGTTGATAACAAACACCAGAACCCCTACATATAATGATTTTGATTAATGTATAATGATTATTCAAAAATTTCCCAAAAGGTCACTATTTTCCCAAAAATGTCCCCGGTCCCAGTCCCAAGAAGTGGTGTGAGAGCCCTGTTATCAAACTATATTAAGGGATGCTTTTATATTATTTTGATAATTGCACCCCTGACAAATAAACTATGATAATAAACGAATTGTACTGTATCATGGGTGGACAGAAAAACAGGCAACATGATTAAAGGTACCATGTAGAGCACCTGCATCTCTTGATGCTGGTCCTATTCATCTGCTTGAATTAATAAATTCCAATGGTTGTTATTAAGTAGTTGGAATCTTCAAAGAGGACTCATTGGCAGGACTAAAGAAATATTGAGATAACAAATGAAATGTGTACTTACTATTGTCCATCATAAACCTGGAATGTAGGTTGTGTCCCCACCATCCTTTGAGCTTGGGGAAATCATTATCCTTGTGTTTCTCATGAAGGAAAAATCCAGCCAGACTTCCAGCACCACTGTTAAGATACTGTAAAATATCACATAATCAGTGCTTAATATGCTTTAATGGCCCTGGCCCCAATCCCATAAAGTGGTGTGAGAGCACTGTAATTAACCAGAGTAGTGAATCACCACTGTTAGGTACTGTAAAATATCTTATACTGTATAAGCAGAAAGTTTAACGCAAATTTAATTTTGGCATTATAAGTGAGGGTTTTGATATTGCTAAAATTGATTATTTCTAACAATTCATTCTGTATCGATGATTATTACATTTTCAACAGTGAAATACTGTAAATTTATTGAATAAAAGTGATTTTCTGACACAGAGTGAAAGTGTATCAAAATGGTATTCTCACAGTGTGAGAATATCAGAAGTGTGGCAAACTCGAGAATTTCCTGCCCTTCACGAAGAGTGTTTTTTTTTTTTTAAAAAAAACTCCCTTGCCTGTCGTAAGATAGAGAAAGTAAATGAACCATCCTGACAGAGACTAAAACTGCTAAAGTTTCCCCATATATGTTGATAAAAATCCATGTTTACAATGTTTTTCAATCTCTCGATCGATTAGCTATGACGTCTCAACCGCTTAACTAAGACATCACAGCCTATGACACTGTTTTACGAAAAGACTGAGGCAAAGGGAAAATCAAAGAAAATGTAATAAACAGAAAATTCAATGTTTTGTAGATGAATATGGAATTTATTTCACTCGTGAGACAGGATTTTTTTATATTTTCACTCGTGCTTCGCACTCATAAAATATCAAAAAATCCTGTCCCACTCGTGAAATAAATTCCATATTTATCCACAAAACATTGAAAATCCTCTATTTATAGCTTTTTTTTCTAGACATTATCTAGATACATATACATTATTATAACAGTAACTTGATCCGAAGAGTCGTATCACATCGAGTTGACAGGCGCGGATCATCAGATCAAACGAGACGCGAAGCGTCGAGTTTGATCTAATGATCCGCGCCTGTCAACGAGACGTGATACGGCTCTTCGGATCAAGTTACTGTTATAATGATAAATTTATTATATACCTCCCTTACAACTAGCAAAATATAGTTTTAAAAAAACTTTTGAGATCAATTATATAAGATTTTCCCATTAAACAAAGCATTTTGTCAAGGAACTTTTTGATGTGCATGAAAAATAACGTCACGTTTCAGAATCTGTGTACTACGTCATCAATTTCAGAGAGGGGTGATATGGATTCAGAAACCACAGTGTGGTGATTCGGAAATTTGGATAACACTGTCACGTGATTGTACGAAATCTACAGTAAAATTGAGTGATACACACTTGGGTATATAATAAAATTTGGATACATTGCTAAATTTGCGTCTTGCTAAAAATTCCACTTATATGGTATAAATCAGTGTTTCGAACCACCACATTTAGGTACTGTAAAATATCACATAATCAGTGTAGTGGATCATTACTGTTTAGCTACTGTAAAATATCATATAATCAGTGTAGTGGATCATTACTGTTTAGCTACTGTAAAATATCATATAATCAGTGTAGTGGATCATTACTGTTTAGCTACTGTAAAATATCCTATAATCAGTGAAGTGGATCACCACTGTTTAGGTACTGTAAAATATCCTATAATCAGTGTAGTGGATCACCACTGTTTAGGTACTGTAAAATATCCTATAATCAGTGTAGTGGATCACCACTGTTTAGGTACTGTAAAATATCATATAATCAGTGTAGAGGATCACCACTGTTTAGGTACTGTAAAATATCATATAATCAGTGTAGTGGATCATTACTGTTTAGCTACTTTAAAATATCACATAATCAGTGTAGTGGATCACCACCGTTTAGCTACGTACAGTAAAATATCATATAATCAGTGTAGTTGATCACCACTGTTCAACTAGTTCAGTGTTACAGTACAAAACAGATAACTTCTATATACATGTATAACATCATACAAGAAGAAGAACATTTCTGATTTAACATTGTGAAAAGTGTCTTTTATTCATACCCCCCTTCTCTCTCTCTCTCATTGACCTACTTTGTAAGTACACCAACAAGCAAAATCTACATTCCAGTCATGAAGTTTAAGCTCCACATTTCCAGCTGCATGTGCAAGATCCCATCCAACATAACACCCCTACAATGCAATCAAGTGACAAAAATGTGTATATTATAACATTTGAAAAACAGAACATTATCAAATCTATGGAAGCTCATGAGAGAAAAAGGTTTGTTCCTATAATACTTCACACTTTAACAAATAAGCATAGAATCAATTTGTTTGCATGTTACTTTGGACATGCTGGAGATAATTTTTTTCGACAGTGCAGGAATCATATAATCTCTCTTTGTTCTTCCCATTCTATAGCTCATGTACATGTATTATGTATACTATGTTGCACTGTTGATTGGAAAAAAATGTTGTACCTTACGCTGTCCTGCCTCTGTGATAGTGGGTATATCAAACACCTGTCCTGTGTAGTACTGTGTACCACTGAGACAAATCACCGCAATGGAGTTCCCTTCCTCCTCTATCTTAGACAGTATATCCTCTGTGCGAATGACCAATTCTCCCTAAAACAAAGAAAGTAACAATACACATGACCGATTACAAGACAAGCTTTGTAAAATTTAGTAATTTTTCCTGAAAACTAGATATCATTGAGATGGTGGCCATCTCAAAGGGCCCCGCTTTCAGCAATGAACATGGAAATGTAAGGTAGCTGAAAAGGGTTTATTTTGAAGAGGAACGTTTGTGTACTATTAAAGGATGTGTTGTTTGAGTCTAAAGTGATTCTATGTTATCCTCGTTATAATAAAAAATGGCATGAAAATCACGAGTGCTCAACACCTTCCATCAAAAAACGGCACAAAAATCACGAATGCTGCAAATCCTCTATGAAAATTGTTGCATATCCTCTATCAGAAATATGGAAGGAAAATCACAAATGATCCATACTCTAAGTCAATTGGTAAGGTTTGAGGCTGACTGGACTTAAGGGAGAGAAATTATGCACTGAACAAAGATTTTAAACAGAGAGGCTATTTTTGAAATTGACCCTTGACCTAGAAACTTTGTTCAAGGTCACTGCACATCCATTGACAAGTGGCACTCTGTGAGTGAAGTATGAGTCACACTGGACCAAGGGGAGAGAAGTTATGCTCTGGACAAGGACTTTTCATATAATTCTGCTATGACTTTAACCTTAGACCTAGAAACACGGTTCAAGGTCACTGCACACCCTTTACCCAAAGGCACTCTGTGGGTGAAGTATGAGCCAGATTGGGCCAAGGAGAGAGAAAAATATTCTCTGGACAAAAATTTACACAAAAAGGCTTTTTTGACCTTGACCCTTGACCTAAAAACTTTGTTCAAGGTCACTGCACATCCATTGACAAGTGGCACTCTGTGAGTGAAGTATGAGCCACATTAGATCAAGAGGAGAGAAGATATGCTCCAGACAAGGATTTTTCATATAATTCTGCTATGACTTTAACCTTAGATCTAGAAACATGGTTCAAGATCACTGCACACCCTTTACCCAAAGGCACTCTGTGGGTGAAGTATGAGCCAGATTGGGCCAAGGAGAGAGAAAATATTCTCTGGACAAAAATTTAAACAGAGAGGCTATTTTTGAAATTGACCCTTGACCTAAAAACTTTGTTCAAGATCACTGCACATCCATTGACCAGTGGCACTCTGTGAGTGAAGTATAAGCCACATTGGGTCAAGAGGAGAGAAGATATGCTCCGGACAAGGATTTTTCATATAATTCTGCTATGACCTTGACCTTATACTTAGAAACATGGTTCAAGGTCACTGCACACCCTTTACCCAAAGACACTCTGTGGGTGAAGTATGAGCCAGATTGGGCCAAGGAGAGAGAAGATATGCTCCGGACAAGAGATCTCGGACGGACAGATGGACGAACGGACAGACTGATCACTATAGGGCACCCGCAGAGCGGGGCCCTAACAAATAAAGAAATGGTGTATTAATAACATAAACAATTCAATGTTTTATAGTTAGGTATGGAATTTATTTCACGAGTGGGACAGGATTTTTTTTTTCATGTGTAAAGCACGAGTGAAAAAAATCCTGTCTCATCAATGAAATAAATTCCATATTCAACTAAAAAACATTGACTTTTTGGTGAACATTTTCTTTGCTTTTCCCTTTTGCCTCTGTCTTTTTGTAACACAGTGTTATAGTCTGTGATGTCACAGCTAAGCAACTGTGTGAGGGAAAATAGTAAATATGGACTTTAACAACAATTAGGAGAAAATTTAGCAGTTTTAGTCTCTTTCAGGAGATGGTTTATTTACTCTAGCTATCTTATAATAGGCTAGACAATTTTTATAATACACGTACTCTTTGTGAAGAGAAGGAAAATTGAGAATTTTGCTGCACTTCTGATATCTTTTCACAGTGTGATAATATCACTTTTATTTCATTTATATAATACAGTATTGTAATAAAGTTCATAAAACCTACATCATACAGTGTATACACACAGTGCGATCAAAATGATGCAATTTCTTAATAAATGCACAGTCGATGTACTCACCTCTCTTGGCTCTATTAATATCATGGCTGTTTTGGGGTCATACCCATGGAGTTCTATCTGGCTCTCTACAGCATACTGCAAGAATGCACAAGTTGTAGAAAAGTATAATACCAAGAAACGTATAGTTATAAGCAACAATTCTTAAATGAGTCACATTTCTCTAACAGGAAGACATCTACCTATTACTCAAACATTTTGAAAGTTAAACTATTTTTGTTTTTAACATTCATTGAATTTTTCTTTAAAGGAAAAACACAGTTATCCTTTTGCTGTAATCTGTGCATGAAGGGACACCACTCAAATAAACTTACATGATCTGAAGGAAAAGCCTTGCTTTCCATCAGGATTTTGTATCTTGTAGGTGTAGGTCGATAAAATGAAATCTGTAATTAAATCTTCAAACTAAAAACTGGTAAATGTCTCGTAGCAAATACATACAAGGGTTGTTCAAAAAATACCTAGACTTTTTACATTATATTAATATGACCAATATTATAGTTATATTGATAGATATGTTTTATTAGCGAATCCAAAAAATGTGTATTGGTATTAATATTTATTTCATTAATTTTTTTTATCAAACTGAATTGGAAAAAAAGCTTAAGAAAATAATACCAAAAACTTTAAAATAAAATCGGACAATCAGATTCCAAGCTATAAAGTTACATTTTTCTTCGAGTCTTCTTGTATAAGAAAGGTTCTACACTAATATAGGAGATGAAATTAATATGCTAATATGAAACACTAGTACAACAAGAGGCCCATGGGCCACAATGCTCACCTGAGTAACATTGGCCCTGTTGTTCTTCATCAGATTTCCCCATTGTAATACTCATTGTGCAATCCCCCCCCCAAGCCCACCCCCAGGGAGGATCATGATTTAAACAATTTAGAATCTACACTACCCCATGAAGCTTCCATATAAGTTTCAGCTTTTTTGGCCCAATGGTTCTTGAGAAGATTTCTTAATAATTTTTGCTATATATTTCAATGTAAAACTTGAATTCCCTTTTGGCCCCATCCTATCCCCAGGGGTCACGATTTGAACAATTTAGAATCTACACTACCCCATATTTCTTCCACATAAGTTTCAGCTTTTCTGGCCCAGAGGTTCTTGATAATAAGAATTTTTATAACCCCACCCTATTTTTTGTCTTTTCTTGATTATCTCTCCTTGTAAGGGGGCTTGGCCCTTCATTTTAACAATTTAAACTCCCCTTCACCAGGGTTGGGGTCAATAACTTTGAAATGTAATTAAATACTTTCAAATACATTGAAAATTTTGTCAATTACTTGCAATTACAATAACATTGATTTTTACAATTGTAATTAATTACACTCAATTACTTTGAAGGATGTAATTAAATACATTTCACTTACTTTCGTTTCACTTTCAAAAATCTCGAAATACAAATATCTGTAAATTTAAGGAAAATGTCAGGTGTCTGTCATGTTTGTGTGTTTCATCAACATAAGACCTAGTCCTACATGTACGTTTATCAAGTGACTGCTTTTATGAAATTTGATTAAAACGAGTTCTCAAGAGTTTATGAATCAACCATAAAATACTTCCCAAATTATTTCAGCTACAGGAAGGCAGGCTATACACCTTAAATTGCAAAAGTTGACAATTTTCATACAGTAAATAATACTTGTTTTATGTAATAACCATTTCAGATACCAGATGCATAATTATATGTAAATAAAGATTTGCTTAAATGTTAAAATAATGATTAGATATATGTTTCTTTTCCGAAGTATATAAATAGTAGAGCATTCTTAATAGTATTTAATAAATCACTATCTTTGAAATTAAACAAAGCATGGTGTACAAGAGGCCCATGGGCCTTGAATCGCTCTTCTGATAAACTGTACAACCTATCACTTCTATTTGAAGCCTCGAAGTATCCTGTATATTTACATAAACCCTTGAAATTCCAATTCACACTCTGAGAACCCAAGATGATTCTAAGCCAATTAGTACCTGAGAGTTGGTCATGGTGACCTACTTATCACTTGTCATTCTCTGAGGACCCATCAACTAAGTTTGATGATTCTAAGCCAATTAATACCTAAAATATTTTTTAAAATTATAATCATAAAATTTTATAAGTAGGTCAAAGTGACCTACTTTTCAATTGTTTTACTCCAAGGACCCAAGATGCATCAACTGACAAAGTTTGATGATTCTAAGCCAATTAGTACCTGTAATATTTAATTAAAGCCATAAATTTTCAAAAGTAGGTCACCGTGACCTACTTTTCAGTTGCTGTACTCCGAGGACCAAAGATACATCGACTGACAAAGTTTGATGATTCTAGCCAATAAGTACCCAAAATATTTAATTACAGCCATAAATTTTCAAAAGTAGGTCACAGTGACCTACTTTTCAGTCAACCTACTCCGAAAACCAAAGATGCATCAACTGACAAATTTTGACGATTCTAAGCCAAATAATTCCTGAAAATATTAAATACACCCATAAAATTTCAAAAGTAGGTCACTGTGACCTACTTTTCAGTTGTTGTACTCCGAGGACCCAAGACACATCAACTGACAAAGTTTAATGATTCTAAGCCAATTAGTACCCGAAATATTTGATTAAAGCCATAAATTTTCAAAAGTAGGTCACCGTGACCTACTTTTCAGTTGTTGTACTCCGAGGACCCATGACGCATAAACTGACAAAGTTTTATGATTCTAAGCCAATTAGTACCTGAAATATTTTATTAAACCATAAATTTTCAGAAAGTAGGTCACGGTGACCTACTTTTTAGTCGATCTACTCTGAAGACCCAAGATGCATCAACTGACAAAGTTTGATGATTCTAAGCCAATTAGTACCCGAAATATTTAATTAACGCCATAAATTTTCAAAAGTAGGTCACTGTGACCTACTTTTTAGTCGACCTACTCCGAAGACCCAAGATGCATCAACTGACAAAGTTTGATGATTCTAAGCCAATTAGTACCTGAAATATTTAATTATAGTCATATAAATTGAAAAGTAGGTCACGGTGACCTACTTTTCAGTTGACCTTTTTTGAGGACCCAAGATGCATCAACTTACAAAGTTTTATGATCATAGGACTTAAAATGTCCAAATTATGCCTCTAAAACGCTTTGAAATCGAATGCCTGCAAAGTTCAAAAAGTAGGTCACTGTGACCTACTTTTTAATAAATCTGTTTTATGGCCCCAAGAGGCATCAACTAACAAGATTTAATGATTCTAAGCCTCCCCGTATTCAAATTAATGACCTTAATTGTTTTAAAAAAGATTAGCCATAAAATTCAAAAAGTAGGTCAAGGTGACCTACTTTTTAAGTGACGTACTTTGACGACCCAAGATGCATCAACTGACAAAGTTTGATGATCATAGGCCTTAAATTGTTCAAAATATGCCTCTAAATCATTATGAAAAAGAATGGCCGCAAAATTTGAAAAGTAGGTCACCATGACCTACTTTTGAGTCAACGTGATATGAGGTCCTTAGATGCACCAACTGACAAGATTTGATGATCCTAGTCCTTATAGTAAGCAAAATATCAACATTTTAATAAAATGTAATTTTTGGTCAACTTTGAAGTGACCTTGAGACCACGCCCTTTGCCCCAGGGTAAATCCCCGTGCAAATTTTAATCTACAACATATCCTCATCCTTTTGTGTAAGTTTGGTGATAATCTGCTCAGTGGTTCTTGAGAAGAAGATTTTTTAGCAACCAGTACTTTTGTTTCTATTTTCCTAATTATCTCCCCTTGCTAAAGGGTCACAACCCCGGTTTTAGTATAAAAGGGAGCCCTTGGGCCAAGGATACCCTGTGACAAATTTGACAATAATTGGCCAAGGGGTTCTTGTGTTATGGCCCATATTCTAAAAAGTTTACGCACACCGCACAAATGGCCATAGCATTAGCTCTTTGAGCCTTTGGCTCAGAAGAGCTAAAAATTATATAAAACTTTAGAGGGTTGTTTTTATAGTAATTTACAGCTGGGAGTTGAAAAGCAACAAGGTAGGTCTTAATGACACATTAAATTATCTTATTTTCTTTTTGATAATCAAGCAACAAAAAATTGAAATGTTTTCATGTCTATGCATACCAATGAGAGGTAAAACAAAATTGTTCATAGACACTAAATTAGTATTATTGCTTTATGTGCATTATGATTATAAAACAAACTTATATTTTTATAAAGAAACCAATATATCAAATTCATTTATCAAGATACAAAAAAAGTTTTAAGATTTTGAAAAACAGAAGGGCTTCTTTGAATAAATCAAAATAAATGTAAAATGTGACTGTGTTGGAAATATTTTCCTATTAAATACACATACATGTAATATATATTGTATAAATTAATTGAAATGTAATTGAAATTACAGGGTTTTTTCAATGTAATTAATTATATTCAATTACAAGTAATTGAAACATAGGTAATCAAAGATTACGAAGCTCACCTCGATGAATGTTATCTACATGTAAGGCAAATTTCACATCATATTTTTTTTCTAGTTAGGGTACATCCCAAGATCAATATCCATATCCATGCAAGTTTGATTTAATTATAGACCTGCTCAAAAAACTTTTGACCTGTTTAGTAATCAAGAAAATTTTGGTCAGTTCCAACATCCAAAGCAAGTCTGGAAGTTTTCATCCTTAGATGCACCATCTATGCAAGTTTAATCATAACAGGCCATAATATTATATAGCTACTCCAAAAAAATTACCCTGGTCACTCTTCTGGAAAATGTACATCAGATTCAGAATCCAAGGCAAGTCTGGAAGTGTCCATCCCTAGATACATCATCCATGCTAATTTGGTTAAAATATGGCTAAAATTCACTCATGTGGAAAATCTAGGTCAGATCCAGCATTCGAAGCAGGTTGGTTAGTGTACATCCCTAGATGCATCATCCATGAAAGTTTGGTCCAGGTAGGGCTTATAGTTACTTGGGAATGAGACTACTCCTAAATCTAAACCTGGTCTCACATGTGGAAAATCTAGATCAGATCCAGCATCTGAACAAGTGTGGTAGTGTCCATCCCTGGATGCATCATCCATGCAAGTTTGGTCCGGGTAGGGTTTATAGTAACTTGGGAATGGACCTGCTCCTAAAACTTTAACCTGGTCACTCATCTGGAAAATCTAGGTCAGATCCAGCATCCGAAGCAAGTGTGGTAGTGTCCATCCCTAGATGCATCATCCATGCAAGTTTGGTCAAGGTAGGGCTTATAGTTACTTGGGAATGGACCTGCTCCTAAAACTTTAACCTGGTCACTCATCTGGAAAATCTAGGTCAGATCCAGCATCCGAAGTAAGTGTGGCCATGTCCATCCCTAGATGCATCATCCATGCAAGTTTGGTCAAGGTAGGGCTTATAGTTACTTGGGAATGGACCTGCTCCTAAAACTTTAACCTGGTCACTCATCTGGAAAATATAGGTCAGATCCAGCATCTGAAGCAAGTGTGGTAGTGTCCATCCCTAGATGCATCATCAATGCAAGTTTGATCCAGGTAGGGCTTATAGTTACTAAGGAATGGACCTGCTCCTAAAACTTTAACCTGGTCACTCATCTGGAAAATCTAGGTCAGATCCAGCATCCGAAGCAAGTTTGGTAGTGTCCATCCCTAGATGCATCATCCATGCAAGTTTGGTCCAGGTAGGGCTTATAGTTACTTGGGAATGGGACTTGCTCCTAAAACTTTAACCTGGGATGCCGACGCTAACGCCGACACCGACGCCGACGCCGGGGGTATAGCATAAGCTCATCTCGACTTCGTCGAGGTGAGCTAAAAATTGGTCAAATACAAATTACTTCCAATTGCTTTGAAAAATGTCATTAATTACACTCAATTACAATTACTTTTTTCAATTACCCCATCCCTACCCTTCACCCAAGAATGTTTTGTACCAACTTTAGTTAAAATTGGCCCAGTGGTTCTTAAGAAGTTGAAAGTGTGAAAAGTTTACAAACAGACGGACGGAAAGACAACAGGTGATCAGAAAAGGTCACTTGAGCTCTCAGATCAGGTGAGCTAAAAATCAAAACATCGTACCAGTTGTAAGTGAAGATTAACTGTCAGTCCATTCATAACTGCAATTTCCTCTTTCTTAGCACCTATTTATCATAAATTGTAACATATCAGCATATACATGTATAACGGAATAATTATTTGGACAGTATTAGAGTATACATGTAGCATTTTACTTATTCTTATGTAAATTATACACACATGATCACTATTTTAAATATAATAGGAACCATACAAATGTGGTAAAACACAGCTACATGATGAAGTCAGATAATAATATTTATAAAATAAATATATTAACTAAATTGGGACCAAGTAAACATACTTTGAACAAAAAATATTTCATTTCAAAGTGTGTTAATATCAACCATATTAATGCACTTTGGGGAAAAAAAAGTGCACAGTTTGGTCAATATTCTTGCAAATTTTAGCATGATAAATAAGTAATTGAACCTAGTTGGATAAATTTTCAGTGATGACTCACTTCAGGATCTGAGATATAGAAATTTTAAGGATTTTTAGTGGTTGTTCTTAAAGGTTCTCATAATTGTTATAAAAGGGAAATGGGTCTTTCAGAAATAATGGAGGAATGATTGTTTAATAGCACAATTTTTGATTCCTTTTTTATTTTATCCAGTCTGTAATAAGTTCAGTGGATGTAGGGATCCATAAATGACTTAAAGCATTGCATTTTTCTTAGGGAAAAGGGGGCGATTATGATTTTTCCATTCAAAATAATTTTCCCACACAATATGATGGTCTTTTTATAGTTGTTTGGTAAGTTTTTAGAAGTATGAAAAAATTGTTTATTCCAGCACAATATGATGGCCTTTTTCTTTTCTTTTTATGCCCCTGTAATCGAAGATTCAGGGGCATATAGTTTTTGCCGTCTGTCCGTTTAGCTGTCCGCAAAAACTTTAACCTTGCCCATAACTTTTAACTGGTTGGAGCTATGGCTTTCATATTTCACATGTGTATTCCATGTGACAAGACCTTTCTTTGGGTACCATCATATTTGACCTTTTGACCTTGGAGTTTGACCCAGTTTTGCAAAATTTTACCCAACTTTATCCTTGGCCATAACTTTTGAACAGTTGGTGTTAGGGCTTTCATACTTCACATGTGTAATCCTTGTGACAAGACCTTGACCTAGGAGATTGACCTACTTTTGAAAAACTTTAACCTTGGCCATAACTTTTGAAGGCTTTCATACTTTACAAATGTAATCCTTGTGACAAGACCTTACTTTGGATACCAACAAATCTGACCTTAGTTGGTGCTTAGGGCTTTCGTACATGTCTATTTCTTGTGAGAAGGCCTTTCCTTGGGCACCATTAATCTTGACCCTTGACCTTCGAATTTGACCTGCTTTTGGAAAACCTTAACCTTGGCCATTTCTTTTGAACAGTTGGTTCTAGGGCTTTCATACTTAACATATGTAATTCTTGTGACAAGACTTTACTTTGGATACCAACAACTTTGACCCTTTGACCTTGGAGTTTGACCTACTTCTGAAAAACTTTAATCTTGGCCATAACTTTTAAATGATTGGTGCTAGGGCTTCCAAATTTCATGTGTATTTCTTGTGAAAAGGCCTCTCCTTGGGCATCTTAATTTTGACTATTTGACCTCGACCTTGACCTAGATGTCCGACTTCCTTTTGAAAAACTTTAACCTTTTCCATATCTTTTCAATGGTTGCTGCTAGGGCTTTCATATTTCACAGGTATATTCCTTGAGACAAGACCTTACTTTGAGTAACAACATATCTGATTTGCATTTGAGAAAGTTTAACCTTCGCTATAAGTTGCCATAAGGGGGCATCAGTGTTTCACAAACACATCTTGTTTACTGATAAATTTCAAATCAATGAACAAGTGTACCACTGCATGCAGTGTTATATGTAATTATTCACTTCAAGAAACTTTTGCAGGTTTTAGAATTTCAACAATCTCCATGGTCAATGCTGAATTTGGTAAAATGACTTCCATAGTACATGTACAGTGTTTCATGTGAGAGTCTGATCGTCTCCAGTCATCTGCATATTTTTAATGATACTAAAAGCATTTTTCCTACTCTGTGTTAGAATGGACAATACTTATGCCTAAGCAGAGCAAAAAAAGTCATGGATTAAATTTCATGCTGCTGTCACACAGCTAGTTGCTCTGATGACTGTTGTTTTCTCTTTGAAATGTCTTTAATTTCTACTGACAAAATTGGCTCCATCATACTCCTGGATGCCATGATTTGAACATTTTTGAATCTACAATATGCAGAAAGCCTTCACATTTGTTTAATCTATTTTGGTGCAGTGATTTTTGATTTTTAAGACCCATTTTTAAAATGAATTCTTAATTATCTCCCCTTGAAAGAGGACATGGTCCTTTATTTGAATAAGTCTGAATCCCCTTTACCCAAGGATACTCTGTACCAAGTTTGGTTGAAATTGGTCCAGTGGTTGTGAAGAAGTCAAAAATGTGAAAAGTTTACAAAAACAACAGAACATCGGACAAATTTCGATCAAAAAGCTCACCTTTGGCTTAGATGAGCTAAAAATGTGTGAACAAGGTTAAATTTGTTGCAAGTCATCTTCCCTTCATCTTTTATCTTAATATATTTATTCCGGAATTTCAAAAATATCATGCAAACAAATATGTTTTACTTGTCATGAAGATTACTGTAGTTTTCAAGCCTTACCAACAATTTTCCCCATGTCTTCACAGAAGTACTCATCACACCATGCCCAGGGTAAGTCACCTGAGGTGTGACCCTCCACCCCTCTGTCAACAAAACATTCATTGTAAAATTCTGTACTCAGAAACATGGTCAAAAATCATAAATTCAGCAATTCAGTGACACATATCTGAATAAAACTAGAGTCCTTCATACTTATCATCTTTTGACCAGTTGCAATGTAATAATTCATGAACACAGCTATATCTACCTAGACAGGCCAATAACGAGTCATTCAATGATGTTTAATATTTGTTATTTATAATAGCAGTTCCCTTCTTTTGAAGTTTTCTTTCTTTAAGACCAACCAATCAAAATTACCCGATCATTTTTTTTTTCACTACTTTAAATTACAAGTACATGTATTATTAAATTATATACATATTTTTGCAGGAAAATACAGATTGTCTGTATCATTTTTAAAGTTAAGGTTTTATCATTTCTCTAAGAGACATTTAGATTAAATTCTCAACTAGAAATTATTATCATTTCATTAACAGCATGTCACTTAATTCACTTAATCATGCATGCTTAGATTTCATTTGTTAATCACCACATTACTCATCGATTGGATGTTTGATTTCAATGAAATTAATACTACTGTAAATGACATGGAGAACCCAACAATACTACAGACAGAACTGACCAATCATATTGAATGGTCATTCAAAGCAATCTCCCTAACATGTTAGATATTCTTCGTGCAAGGGTCACTCAATCTAAGGATTTTATTATGCCCTGTTCACATGGAGAGTTTAATTCGAATTAAATGTAAGTTACTGCGAATTAAATTTGATCCGCGTTCACACGGAGAATTTAATGCGAATTAGTTTACTGCGCATTAAATTACTTTGCATTAGCTCTGTGTGAACGCTAAGCGAAGCTAATTCAAATTAAATTTTGACGCATGCGTAAGGGCAGAATTAAGTCACAGGCCACATGTCGATGGTCAAATATAGGTACTTGTGCTATTTTTGAGTGGAAAACAAAGGAAAATTATGTTAATCACCAAAATGTGTACAGAAACTATGACATTATGTCAAATGTATATCTGCTCTGCACAATATGACATGATTTGTAAATGACGTCATAATAGCCTCACTGAATAGCCTTATTGTAGAAATAAAATTATAATTCGCATTAGTTTACTTCGCATTAGCTGTCGTGTGAACACAATTTAATTCGCATTAGTTTAATTCGCATCATTTTAATTCGCATTAATTATTGCGAGTTAAACTCTCCGTGTGAACAGGGCATTATTTTATTAAAATACTTTTGTTTCACACAACAAAGTGCTAGAGTTTCTCATAATGAACAAAAGATAGGGAATGTCAACTAAAGATTTATAAAAGACTGCATTTCTAGATTTCATTTGCATACTAGTATGTGCAAAGTTTTACTAGTTTTTCATGTTGTATATTTTCTTATATTAACTTCACCTGCAGTCAATTTACAACTGACCATGACACTTAGGATTATGAGGAGGTAAAACAGATTCTGACCATCCTCGAGTTGCTGTTTTCTACAAATGCCCTAGTAAACAATCATTCAGCGTGTTGGATATGATTGGTCAATACTTTTGGTCATAAATGTATTTGGGAGGTCTGTGTTTAATATGCAAATTAATAAGCAATTTTGACACCAACCAGCCAATCAATGAGTAATATGGTAATCAATGTGTGAAAGTTTAGCAGCCTTGATCAACCAAAATGACACGCTGTTACTGGAATGATAGTAAAAAAAACTTGTACATTGGTTTATGGCACATTATCTCATAACTTCACTTTTCAAAGTAAAACACCTTGCTCTGATAATTTAAATTGAAAGATGTAAGGATGCATCTAATATGTGCATGTATATATAAATTGTACACTTCATGCAAGTTCATTTTATCTTATTCTTTCTGTCCCGAATAAATTACATGGATTTTTTTTTTTATATTCCAGCAATTAATTGCATTCCTTATTCATAAATCAAGTTAGATTGACAGCTAAAGGCTTCTGGAATAAAATGATAAAAGCATTCATAATATGAATAATTATATTCCTTATATTTAATACTTCATAAATGTGAATAAGGCTGCAATGTTAAAATAAAAGGGTTGATGTTAAATAAAGCAGTAGTGAATTAAAGAGCTAAAACAATGATATATTTGTAATACTTATATCCTACAAACACAGAAAAGGAAGAAGGAGTTCTATAGACACACTGTGATGCATTGTATACACATTCCCTCTAATTTAGTTATATAAACCTCTTGTGACCTTGTGAAAAACTTAGATCACATGATGATCGCTTCACCATTATCTGACAAAAAAAGCTTTGCTTGAACAAGCCCACTGGGCCTGGGGGTGTCACTCAGGTAGAAAGTTTTACCTGGGGTCAAAAGGTTTATCTGTAAAATGTGAGGTCAGTAAATGGACAGGAAATACATTAAGGACTCCTGGGTCAGCAAAAGACTTGGATTTCTAATAACAAGGGAGATTTTCTGTGTTCAACTGATCCAATATGCAGTTATTAAACTTATAGCTTCATGCTGTGAAAAGAGCATCTCTGAATTCAACAATATTCCTGCTTACGTAAGTACAAATATTGATAAATTGTTTTAGTTTACTATAATAATTTTATCTTAAGATGTATCTACTCTACCAATAATTTCACTCAAGTCAATGAATAATACTTTGAAAATGTTGTTTTTTTCTTACTTTAAGTATGAAGTATTCATTAAAAAGAACAGTGTTCAAAGTATATGTTCCATTGGTCATAATAAATATAGAAATCAAATGTAACATGTTTCAAGAAAGCTCAGTTGGACACCAAAACAAATGTAGATTAAGTTAATTTCAATGTGTTCAACATGGTGACATAAAAACCTATCAGTTTAGGATATTGTACAGTCACGACCATACTTAATTAAAGCACTCTAAAGGGATGCAGTGTGCATAAAGCATTAAATTTTTCAATTCTTAATGTTCATTTACCATACATTTCACTTCAATCACATATTAATGGTCCAAAAAAGTGCCAAATTGTGGATCATTTCAGTAGGATTCTTACAATCTCAATCTTCCTGACTGATCACTAGTAATTTTAAGATTACAGCCCCCTCCCCCTTCTTCCAATATATCCATCTATTCTAAAACTTTCTTATATTTTCCTTGAAACAGCATTACCTTTTTCTAACATTATATGTCAAATTTAAATAACATCTAAATTAGTGGTTATTAATATTGAAAATACTTAAATTACTGTGAACATACATTTTTTTCCACAGCGTCATAGCTCCATGAAATTACAATTTCTGTTCAGTCCGTGGGTAGAATATTATGCAGATTTCTTAGATTTCCACTATTAATGATGACTTAAATAAATTCAGGTATGCTGGGACAAATTTCCACAAAAAATTTGTGACCGGTACATTATTTAATGTTAATTAATACCATATGGGGAAAAAAAACACTTCTACAGTATTCTTATCACATCTAAGAAAATAAATTGAACTGCACATTTCCCTATAAAAAAAAATTTTGCTCTGGATAGAGCTGTATAGAACACAACTGTAGACTAATAGCGTTCATAATAAATTTTAAATTCCCTTGTATTTATTATAAAACTCTTAGATTAATTTGTTGTGTTTTATAATGAAATTTTTTTTCTATTAGAAACTTCATTATTTCAGGTGTCTACATTAAAGCAACGCAAATATATCAATAAATCAGAAATTGTTTTGTCGTTGATACTTATACAGCTTTGTCATGCATATTACATCTGGTAGCAACTTTTAAGAACTAATTTTAAGCACTTCACAGATTTTTTAACATTTTCTGAGTATTACTTGATATATAAATACTACATGTAGCTGAGAGTAACATTAAAAATTTCATCCCAAGAAAATTTTCAATGGTACCCGTTACTAAATACAGTATTTACCATAAATATTATACTGAATGTTTTATACAAATAAAGGTGAAGCACACACACATAGATTTCGTGCAGTCAATATTATTTGAATATGGGTCACCTGTCATCAGCGCAATGTACCAGCAGATTGTTGCTAAATTCTGTCCTGCTGTTGGGGGGGGGGGGGGGGAGCATTCAGAGGATATTAGTGTTTCTTAACAAATGTTTCTTGAAGAATCAAATTTAAGTAATTTACATGAAAATTTAATATTTCAAACTAACACCCTTAACCTAGTCTTTGCACAATTCCCAGCTTCCCTGGAATTTGTAGATTCTGTCTCTTAAATCACTCAGATCATTCTATATAGATAAAAGGCCAAGGGTTGATTCAAAGTAATGTTAAAACTTTTATAAAATCTTTAATAATCGTAACTTTTCAACAAAACTTAATATACTAATACCTGTCTATTTTGACTTTTGCCCAAAAATTACATTCAGATATAAGCAATACTTCATAAAATATTAAAATAAACACAACATTGGGTCACATATTATGTGGATGAACTGAAAATGAGTGCCGAAAAGTCATGTGACATCTGTAACATTCTAAGCCGTGTGGTGATAGACAAAACCTAGCGTTGTGTTCATCTTAATAGTTTAAAAAAGTAATCTATATAATCAATTGAAATTTTAAGGCAAAAATAAAAAAAAGATAGGGGTATTGGTATGTCAGATTTTGTTGATAACATTTGATTATTGAAGATTTTATTGCAGTTGTGACATTTACTTTTGGATCAAGCCTTGTGTATGTAAAATTTGAACATATGCTCTTTTTGCACTGTGCCCTTTATTTAGCATCAGAATTTGACCCATTCTCTCAGGTAAATGTGCTCCCAGCCATAAAACCTACATTACAAAACTGCATGCCTGGCCTTCACATGGTTGTAACATGTGAAAGCCCTGAACTGTAGCAAAAGTCAAAGGTCAGAATCTGATTAAGTCTATTTTTATCATGCATATAGGAATACATTTACATTTAATATACATTTAAAAATAAACTTTTATAAAATTAGCTTAGCATTTCCTAAGGCCCTAGCTTAATTCCAAAATATGCTGCTATTAAATGTACACTGAAATTTAATTTTAA